ATGCCATCACCCCCATCAAGCCGTTGAAACCGAACTGAGTTGTATTTCTCTCAGGCTATTCAGCTGCATCGCGTGAATTAAGCCTCCAAATTTGCCAGGTACGTGGCATCAAAGATGCAGTGCTAGTCAGCTATCCGATCCGACTTCAACTCGGGCATGACAAGAATGCAGGAGGTTGGGGAGCTGCCAAGAGATTTGGATTGTTTTCCACCTAGGAGGTAAGGCAGAGGCAGAAAGAGGGTGGGAGGGGAAGGGTTACATATTTAAGGAGGAAACTTCTGTCTTGGCTCCGGGCGGGCTTCCAAGGGTTGACGATCGACTGCATAATCGTGGCATAACCGTGGATCACCAAGCTTGGCTCATGGGCGGCAAGCCAAGTCGTTGAGAAGACTCGGTATGGAAGATGTCTACAGATGTTCAAGCTCAAATACTGGGCCCCTGAGGTAGACCAGTAGAGCTACGGCACGGAACTCCGAAACGGTTTAAAGTGACTTGGGGAGTACTCCGTACTCCGGATACAGTAGATGGGATCACCCAGAGGACACGGGCCAGAATAATAGTTATCAGGTGACAAGGGAATCTGTGATTCTTATTATGTAATAGCAAATTCCCCCCGCATGATCGGCCCCAAAAGAGGAGACGTTGGCTGTTTACCACAAAGTATGGCAGGCTGGCTGCATGAATGGTATTATGTTAGGTAATAGAAACTGGTCTGGGGTACAGTTCAACGGATGCATCGGATTTTCTAAGATCTGCTGACCTGTCACTTTAAAGGACTTTTGGAGATGCTAGGTACCTGTAGATTGAAGAAGGGTTGGAGATTGTGTCATAAGAGTTGGAGTAGGGAACAATTGTGGAAGAATAGTACAGAGTACAGAGTACATTGAGGTAGTTTTGAATCAGGCCTTGTGTGTTATATCTACTTCGAAGTTGTCGTGGATAATCAAACAATATGTCAGGTCCAGATTCGGGGAAATGACGCAATAATTCCTACATGCATTAAACCCCCCCCCCCTTACCCCCCCTCCCCCCTCCCCCCAAAAAACAAAACAAATGGAGTCTACAGGGGTAGCTTGGGGAACTAACACGAACTTAATCATAGTGATCATAAGAAAAGTATATCCTAGATGTATAGGGTATATCTAAATAGAGATTCAGATTGATCCATTCACTACAGAGTCCTTGTCCTTTTTTTACATCTTCAGATTTAAAGAAAAGAATTAAGTAAAAGAAGTAAAGAATATAAGAGAAATAGACAGATCCGCCACCGTAATCAATCAGTTCACCCGTTTTTTTTGGGGTTTTTTTTTCTAAAAAAAATTAAATAAAAATAATTCGCCCCATGTGGCCATGACCCATGGTGCATCCCTCACTCGTACACTTTTCAACTTTCCACTTTCACTTTCAATAACTTCTCTTCTCAAAGACGTGAATCCTTCACAGTCCGTATGTGATTGGGAAAGCCATCTTTTCTCACCCAGTTGTGCAATACCGGTTCATCCGTTTCTGTGACTAACAGCTTCGCTTTTTTTTTCCCCACCCCTCTGGGAGCCCTAAACTTGCCCTCGGTCTCAACACCTCTTTTGTTTGACCGGGGCAATTTTTTTTTCTTTCCAGTTTTTTTTCAATCTGAAGAAGCCTTTTGATTGTAAAATTTAAGTAGACGCATCTGATTTTGTGTTTCCTGCTCCAAGGGACTCCTCGACTAGTCACTGTACACTTAGGGTTCTGTGCAGAGGGCCTCTTTCTCCTCACCATGGCTTCTATTACCTCTGCCCCTTCGCAGCCCAAGCCGGCCTTCCCTCGACTTTCTTCAATTCCTGGCGGTGATCATTTCTACTCACGCGACTCGTCTCCCTCGCCCTGCAGCACTCCGGACGGGTCCAGGTCGAGCAGTCAGCGTCGCCCCTCGTTTGGTTCTATCAAAGAAGATACAGAGGACGGTACGTACTGAAGAGGTGCGAATTTAAACCGGAGGCTGACGTGATCGGCAATCTTAGGAATTGCGCAATCATTCGTGGACACCCAACAAGCACCAGCCCCCCAAGCGCAAGACCAGGAGCGCAAGGTCGAGCGCCTCACCCAGATGCAACACGCTCCGGACTTCTGTTGTCCTTGTGGAGGATTTCTTGGATGGAAGCAGATCCGATTGGGTGGGAGGAGCTTAAGTCGCAGCTACAGTGATCTCCGTGGGCTTGGGAACTTACATGCAAAGGGCTGGGCATGGGAAGCCCAGGAACCCGAAACAATGAAGCTCCTCCCACCCAAGACCCCCGAGGTGGAGGTAGATGTTTTGCAGACCCCTCCTGGCACATCGCCTTTGGAGAGGCTTCCCCCGGAGGTTCTTGGTAAGAAATCGCATGCCCTTCTTGTATCTCATGTGCTAACCATCGTGGGAAGATCAAATCATCTCTAACCTTGCGGTCGATCTTCCACCAAATGGCTATGCCCCTCGGAACGTGGACTTGGTCTCGTGCCTGTTAGCATCCCACACATTGCACGCTGCTACTTTAGGTGTCTTGTACAGGAACATGACTTTCCCACACTCCATTATCTTCTCCAAGGCCCTTAATCACATGTCGCAGTACCCGGCGTTGGGGACATTGGTGCGTCGTCTGGACTTCTCACACTTTACCTCCGTCGGCCTGGGTCGCACTAAGCAGATGAACGCTGAAATCCAGAACCTGACCTCCAAGACCCTCTTGCAGTGCTTGGAACTGCTCCCCAACTTGAGAGAATGCCTGCTGCAGGAACACCTAGAAGGGGACATTAGTGTGGAAGTGATCCGGAAGCTGTTCATGGGGATGCCGAACCTGCGTGCGGTGGATTTCTGCGGTTGCTCGACTCAAGCATTCTCCGGGGTTTTCCAAGAGGCCGTGATTGGTGGGCCTGCGCTATCCATGACCTTGCCCAACTTGAAATGTCTCTCGCTTCACGAATGCAGCACTATTCCCGCTCCCATGTTCGACTACCTCCTCCCACGATTGGTCAATTTGACGCACCTTGACCTGACTCATACGCAAGTTAACGATTCGGCTCTCGTCTCCATCCCCGAGACTGCTCGTATCTCGCATTTGAGCTTGTCCCGATGCACACGCCTCCGCCCGTGCGCCCTGGTTGAATTCCTCACCACCCACCCTTCGGTCAAGGAGTCTCTCGTTTACTTGAATCTGTTGACGGACCCGACCCGATTCCGTCTGCTGGAAGAGAACGACGTATCTGCTCTGCTGCCAAACCTTCCCGATACCCTCCGTTCTCTCAACCTGGGAGGAGCAAAGATCACCTCGGACCATGTACCACACTTGGTGCCTATGACCAAGCACCTGGAGGAGCTGGGTCTCAGCTCTGCAGATCTTTCCGTCGCGGATGTGAACGCTTTCTTCGGCCGTTACCGCGACCCAGTCACAGGAGTCGAAACCGATGCCCCCAGCACCCTCTGCTACCTTGATCTTGCCAAGGTGCCGCAGATGACCATCGGAGCCATCTTCAACACAAGCACTTGTTCCCTGCTCTCGAACCAAAGCTACCCCTTGCAGGTCGTTGAGTTTAGTGACAAGATTATCACACCGTTGCGTGAGCGTGCCAAGACCCACCGCACATCCGTTGGATGGACGGTGCGAGACCTCGGCCGCCGCGGCTGGTACGTTCGCGAACCATCCTCCATGCCCCACGAGCCCCACGACGATGGTGCCCGTTACTGGAAGATGGGTGCGCGCTGGTGGGGCATGCGCAAGATTCCTATGGCCGTCGGCGAGGTCGGCGGCCTCTACGGCCACTACATGTTCAAAAAATGATCTACTATGAGCGTTCTGTTCTGACGAAAAAGCGTTCTAGCTGGATCTTTTCTTAATCGCTTTTGCTGATACCCTTGATTTGGTCTTCTTCATTTTCCCGGTTTGCGTTTCATTGGAGGGGCTTTGCTTATATTGCTGATTGCTTTTTGTTTTTGACGATCATGAATGATGATATCCGGTCTATGCATGGCGGCGCGCAACACGGTTTACGAATTTCGGCATTCTGGCTACTGGCTTCGGGTTCGTGTTCTTGGTCGCGTTTTGTCTTTTGATTTTGCATAGCATCTGAGATTTCTCTTTTCAGCGGTGTCTGGTTTTTTTTTTTATTTCTATCTCACGTCACTGGCTTCATAAGGCGTTATTGTATCTATCTGGATTTGACAACTCTGCTCAGACATACCTAGTCTCTACTTTTTATCTCTTGTAATCTTTTTCGTCGACTCGATCTAATGTAGCGTTGTGCCTGCTCCATCAGGAAGGCGTGACCATCGCAGTCCCGAATAGGAAACTTCCTGGCGACAAACTCCCTCAGCTTGCGTCCCTCTCTGTCATCTACCTCGTCATCAACGCTGTCTCGTTCTCAAATTCCTCCCTTGGCCAACTACTGCGCTGAACCACACCTAGTCTGTCACTCTTCGCCGTCCTCGCCATGGCTCTGTCAATCGAATGCTCGGGTGGTAGGTTGTATGTCTGATATCAAGTTCACCATGAATATGATTTCATCCAACCCAGCTAGCCTACTCAGATCTTTCAAGGCACCGAGATGCTAACACGAACATGAAGAATCTCCAAGACACTGGGTTGAGTAACTCCTCTCCACCGTCCACTTCCAAGTGATGAAGAAACAGATGCTCGAGCCATTATCTTCAGACCTCCAATCTCTCTCTGGGTTGTCTTGTTCAGGTTGATGTGCTAGTTCCACCAAGGCTCGCGCACATAGATATCCCGGATGTTCTTTTTTGGTATGGGGTAGAGGACAAGAGCATTAATTTCCTGGCTGTGATGCGGTCCTCAAGGGCCTTGAGTCGAAATGCAACAGCCTCAGAGATGATAGCACTTACGGGTGGGTGTTGTATCATGCTTGGACACTTCTGTCGCATCCAACTGCAGAAAGGTGGGCTCCACACTAAGCAGAGATGTTTGAATAAAGAGGGCCACATTACATCTACACTTGCAACGGATGGTGATGTCTTCAGATTTTTCCGCATGGACAAGGAGGGACAGGTATGTGTACTCAGGCAACTTTAGGCGATTTTCTAATTTTAATGCTGATATAAATAGCCATGTGAAACCCAGTACCGGAGCGGGAATGGCAACGAAGATACTATTTTACTTCTTGTTACGGTCTTCAACGATGCTTTGGTTCCACCGGGTGCCCGCACGGAATTCCCTACCGCACATGAAGATATTACTGGTGAGATGGACTGACTTACAGGTTGTGAACAAATTGCCTGTGTCATGTTTGAGCAAATCACCCAAGAACCTATGAATTAGACACTAACCAAGATCAAAAGAGGAAGAATATCGCAAGGATCTGCAATGCATGCACAAAATGGCCGTGCAAGTGGGCGTGAACGTGTACATGAATGTGCTGCAGCTACTACCGATTCCGCTCCGCGGCGCAGTGGAAAGAAAAACATTTAACCTAATACAGCTAGCGAGGTACGAAGCGATAGGGAGCCCATTCATGGCGATACACCATGGCGGTTGCGAAAACGGCTTTCCTGATTATGGGGCAGTGTTAATGAGGAACTTTGACGCTGAGCTAAAGAAAGTGCTGGAGGGGGTCGACTTTGAGGACTACGATGATAACCAAAAAGTGCCCAAGCATGCAATTCGGAAGGCTCTTTTGGAGGAAATCAGGCCTCTGTTCTATGAGATACTCACGGAGGTGCGTAACAAGACATTGGAGAAGTTTTTCAAGTAGATTGGTGGATATTTGCTATTTACCGGCACATACCGTCTTCTATGAACTCGCGTGTCGTTCGTAAATGCACATATTGCTGGGCCAATGGACTTGTACCGCAGAGTTGATTAGTCTGTTCAACCCATTTTTCGCGAATTATCGACTACACATTCCGTTTTCTATGGCAGCTCTTGCCATGTTCACTCTCCATCTCTTTTCTCCCTGTGTGATAAACTATTCGTAACTAAGTCCACTAAGTTGTCTATGGAGATCCCCGACCTAAGGCAGGAAACACTACATCGCAACGCTGATTGGCGGTAAATTGGCTGCCGAAAATAGCTCCCTGCGCGAGATACTCGGTGAGAGGCGGAGATTCAATAGCAAGCTGCGAATAGTGATGTGGCCTAGGACTGTGAGACACCTGTCGAGTATTGTCCTTTTGCAATTTTGGACAATTTCTAAGAAAGATTACGGGTGGAGATCCCCTTTCTTTCTTATGTATCTGATATGGTAGGTAAAGAAGCATATCCAGCTATATTGTAAATCGGGATGGAGTTCTGACAGAAGGGGATGCTTAGAAAATCCAAACCACTAATTTTCGTGATGACTGTAGGGACAATTAAACGATGTGGTACAAGTCAGTCTTCCCTCATTTCACCTTCATTCAGTTCACTGACCTGTCACCTGGAGCGACTATCGGATTCACTTACAGTGGACTGGCTGTGGATCCGAGGATGTTCCCACCATGGATCAAACAGACCTTGTTTGATCGAGAAGTGAAATTTCTACGGCGGATCGTTGGGTCTTGCAAGACATGAAGAATCTAAGCCAGGCCAGTATCGTGGTGGGCGTGCCAGGATTGGGGGAGTGGAGGCTTGTTCAAATTGTAGCTTACTATCCATTCAAGGTCAAGCCATGCTTCTGCAAAACCAGCTCAATTTTGACCGCGCCATTATACGGCAAGGATCTTAACATGCAACAGCGAATAGCAAACATTCAAACAAGCCCTATAGGAACTGTGGGACCAGCAGTGTGTGAGATCAAAACATCTCAGTCTTATTGGAAATTTGAATGTCTAATATCAAAACGAAGTCCCGATGTTTACTGTTCTGCTTGACTAGACTAGTCTACCGCTACTTGATTTTCTGCAGGGCATTGTAAGTGATTTCATTGTCCTGTATCCAACCCCTTGGTCCATATCTAGCTCTCGCAAGCGAGAATGCTGGTTTTTTTGGTTTCAGCCCTCGACGTTACACACAGATAGGGTGGCTCAAGTAGTAGTTAGTATGAGCCACAGAGTCCGAGAGATCCAATGCTAGGAGTTGATTCACAGGGCTAGGCTCCTTTTGTCTTGTTGGGGCACTGTATGCCCTTGATTGCATGGGTTATGGGGCAAGGCTTGATCCTCCTACGCCGAGAGGGACTTGCTGCACATATCTACCACTGATCCTCGGTACAACCTGACGGAACTACCGTGATTAGCTAGATCGGTGTGTGTGTTTTTGAATCACCAGACTCACATCTTTAAAGAGTTTGAACTATTTATTTAGAGAGGTTTAACTCAATGAGGTGTACACCGCGGGATGGTCCCAGATATAACTGTAGATTTTTGTTGGTTGATCGATATTTTCATTAACTAGCAGTGTGATCCATGTGTATTAATCTCAATGATCATCCAATGGGGGATACAGCTGAGAATTCTAGATTCGATGAGCTGATTGATGTCTTTTTTTTGAAAAATGTCATGGCGAGTTGTGTAAAATGTGGTATCTATCAAGTATAGTAGATAGATAGTTTATATACTAAAGTCTTAGATAGGTTAAAGTCTAGTAAGTATCAATATTCAATATTAGGATAAGCTTTGGTTTATCATCTTAAGAGTATAAAACGAATTCTAATTAGATAGGGCAAATTTTAATCTAAGTTATAAAACTATAGATCTAGGTATAGTTAGTGTAAGTATATTTAATACCATTCTGAGATTTAGCCTTTTAAAGAGTAAACTAACTCGAATTTTGTTCGATTTAGCGTAATACAAATCATGCGTAAGAGCAGTGGCCAATGCTTTTTGCTCCAGCGTAAAGTAGGACAATATGTAGTGGATGGCATTTGATCTCAGTCATACCAATGTGCGATTGCAATTGTTATCATTGCACAGGCAAGGAATAGATCATTTGAGCAACACTCGGTAACAAAACCAAATCCCAAGGGTAGATGGGGATATAAATATCACCACCTCGACCACAGTGAAGATCCACATTCTGCACAATCGATCACTGTCCACTATCATCAATAAAGACACCACTTTCACCCTTTTCATATCTCACAATGGTTGACGCTGCCTGTCGCATTGCCGGAAAAGATGAGATCTACATCTTCGCCGGCCGGCATTATGGTCGGGTCAGGTTTAGCAAAGGAGGCCCCGAGCACAGTCTTGCTGCAGGCCCGACCCTCTTAAGCAAGGGCTGGAACACTCTGCCTAAGATGGGATTTGGTACAGTGGACACGGTTGTGCCTGTGCCTGGCCACGATGACCAACTCTACGTTTTCTTCGGAGGCCGGTATGCCAAAATCAAGCTTGAAAACTACGATGATAGCTTTGTCAATGATGGAGCCCGTCCCATTGCCTCTGGATGGAAATCGCTCGTTCAGGCGGGCTTTGACACGGTAGATGCAGCAATGCTCACTCCCGGAACAAAGAATGAGATGTACTTTTTCCGCGGCTTGCACTATGTTCGCTTGGACAATAGTACCGACAAGATCGTCAATAAGGTCGCACCTATCGCAGAGGGCTGGCCAAGTCTTGTCCAGGCTGGCTTTGATTGTGTTGATGCCATTGTTCCGAACCTGAGTGGTCAGGATCTCTACTATGTCTTTAATGGTGATCAATTCGCGGTGATCAAAGTGGATAGTTCCCGGAGGGATACCCTCGTCTCACCCCCGAAGACAATCAGCTCGTCGTGGCAGGCCTTGGAAAAATGGGTTTAGTCGGGTTATCAATGGAAACGGTGGGTGATCCTGTCGAGTGCAAAATGAAAAGCCCTGTGCTGAGGAATAGGGTGGATTAGGTCACCTCCTGCGTCCCCTATTTTGGGCCTTAGTTTTCATTTGTAGATGTCAAACTTGTTGACATCGTGCTTGGAATTATACCATAGCCAGCCAGAAAACCCCTGTCACTAGGTGATGAGGCAGATAAGTCTCACTTATTTTAATCCAAGTATGTACTGAAGCAAGCGTCTTGAAGAAAATTCCGTGCTACTACTTTGTGTATGGAACAGTTGGACAAAAGTAGTATCATTCCCTCCAGAAATGATGACTCGAGCAAGAGAGACTGCTACATCTATGCCAGTGGCTCAAACGCTGCTCATCTTGGAACTGCTGATCACATATATTTCATTCATTGTATCGTTTGAAGGGAACGGTACATGAACACGACATACTTCAAGAGGGACGATGGCTTAGACTGGAACTAAAATTTCTAACAAGAGATGAAAGAACACCAGATTAGATATGGATTCAAAAAGAGATTTCAGATTCTTTTACATGGTGTAGATATGCTTCGTTCACTTAGGGCTTGGCTCTCAGGTGACGCTTGGCGACCGTCATGTGATGACTCGCAGAAGAGCCGCATTTCGTAATTCGTGTTGTCACCTCTACGCGCCCTGTCTATCACCAAGGTCTCAGACCCTCCTTGCTAAATTCCGCCCTTGGGGAATTGCTCATCCCGATGGGTGGATTCGTTTTCGCCTTTGAAGACAGTGGAAGCTGTCAGGACACACGATGTCATCTCCGAGCGGAGCGGCCTCTTACAAGAAGAAAGATGGGACCCTAGCTATATCTGCAGATGAGGAGTCAGTCTTGTGGAGTCCTGCAATTGCAGGGACTGCGAACCCGATCACAATCCCCGTGATCAACATCACTAGTATGGAGTCACTCCATGGTCGTGCATTCGTCTCTTTACTGACTTACGCGACTGCTAGATCTACAGCAGACCCCAGCCTCGAATCCGAAAGTGATGCTCAAAATTTTTGCTCAAGCTTCCGATGCGCCTCCGAATAGTATGCCCGATCAATATGTCTTCCTGTTCACGGCTGGAGCAAACGCCCGCTCGCAGGCCGATGCCATCAAAGACACATTGAGTGTTCGAGTCAATACCGCGAAGGCGGGCACACCATCCCAGACGCCGGGGCCTAGAGGCAGTTCCGAGGGTCTGTCAGCGGCAATGGCGATTGCAAACGCTGTGACATCTGCGGCGACATCGAAGAACCCTTTGGGCGACGAGAATAAGCTTCGGTCCGACATAGAGCTGCAGCAGTCGTTATTGAGGTCTGATTCAAATCTGCAGCGAATGTTTTTCGAAGGATTGCATACAAAACCAGAAGCCTTGTCGTCCGCGTCGTTCGTATCACAATTCTGGTCAACACGACTGCATTTACTGCGAGCGCACGCAATCGAACAGGGCCAAACCCGTGGTTCATATAATGTGCTATCTTCACTCAAGCCTCGGGTCGAGGATAACGTGACACGATTGAATATCAGTAAAGAGCAAATCCAGCTGATCTTCACACAACACGCACTGGTCAAACGCGTGTATGACGAGAATGTACCGAAGCTCAGCGAGCAACAATTCTGGTCACGATTTTTCCAGAGTCGACTATTTAAAAAATTGCGTGGAGAGCGCATTACAGAGGCTGACGCAACCGATGCCGTGCTCGACAAATACCTCCAAACGAATGAGGCCGCTCAGCCGGACCGGAACACAAGTGTTCATCACTTTTTGGACTTGGCTGGCAATGAAGTGAACCACAGCCAGCGTCGCGGAAACCGTCCTGACCTAGATATGAGGCCATCTGGCGTCGAAAAAGTGCCCATTATTCGGACACTGAACAGCCTAAGCGAAAAGATTATGGCCAATGTGGCTCCGGCCGACGGTGATATGAGTGCGCCCATAGGCATCAACGAAGAGGCATGGAAAAAGCTCCAGCTGCAGGATCTTCGCGGAGAAGAAGAGCAAAGTCGCATCACTTTGAACATTCGTGATCAAAGCCATTTCTTCACTCACAGTCAAGAAGAGGAAAAAACTAAGCAATTTGCGAAACAAGATCCGGATAAACTTCTTCATATTCTCCGTGCGGACATCAATCAAAGTCTTCCATCGCAGGGCAACACACAGCTGGGCAAGTTGGTGGACCCCGGCGACGATGAAGACGAGGAGATGGAGGATGCACCTGCTAGCCGTCGACCCGTCGGATCATCTGCAGCTCTACACGATGCATTCTCTCAGATCCTGGGAGCATTGCGCGATCGCCGCACCCAAACAAATGAGCGAGCAGCGTCAGAAACATATGGACTGTCTATGGCGCTCTTTGACCGCTTGACACTGACACACGCTACAACCACTGAGTTTTTGCACCAGTTCTGGCAGGCATTTCTCTCGGGAAACCCAGACCGTGCTGGAGAGGTCGCATCCTTAGCAGAGTCTCTTCAGCGAGCGGCTGAGCGCATTAAAGCTGTTGCAAATGACGCAGAGGCTGAGCGGAAAGTCGAAGTTGACCGATTGAAGAAGCAGGCCCGTGACATGTACGAGAGCACCGGGCGAAAATTACGAGTCAACTTAGAAGGCGTGGAGGGAGGCCAGAAGGTTGTGAACCAGCTTCTCGGTCCCACACTCCTTGCACTGGAGGTCGCATCGACTCGATATCAAAAAGAATTGGCCAAACAAAATAAAGAAGCGGCCCTGGCCAGCCAAGAGATGGCAGGGGTATAGAAGGAAACAACCTGGGCGTTTGATAGTGACATGGGATGTATAATATGACGCTTCAAAAGAACTTCAATATTTGATTCATACGGAGAATCGAGATTTCGATATCTCGTTTATCTACCTGTAAATTGACGTATGAAATGACATTAAAGGGCCCGTAGAGAACAAAGTTGGCAGTCGGTATGCCGAGCTTCCCCGGAGTTCGGGAACCAAGTGCCATCTGTCCCCTCAACTGCACTGAAAATTCCCCAACTCACCTTCATCCCCCCCGCCTTGGATGATTCCCAAGCCAGAATCGAACTAAAATAGAGATACACAAGGGGCATCAAGATGCTCACCTCCGGTCTCACAAATGCGCCCCTCACCAAAGCCCTCCTTATTTACACGATCGCCTCGTCGATCGCTCTCTCCCTTTTCGACATAAAACACCTCGCCGTGATCTATGTATCGCCACATTTCTGGCCCTATGCCCAGTTCTGGCGTGCACTGGTGTGGCATGTCGCTGGCTTCACCAATTCCACCGAGGCCCTCTTCGCCGCGATGCTAGTCTACCATCTGCGGGTTGTCGAACGCGCGTGGGGGAAGCGGAAGATGGCGGTTAGTTCTTCTTTATCTTATTGTCCTCGTTCCTGCAAATTTGCACGGACACATTCAACCAGGAAGCGGAGAAACTGTAGAATTTGGGATCTAACCTGGAACCCGATTGCTGACACCATGATCCTACTTGCTACAGACCTTCCTGCTCACCACACTACCCTACACGACTCTCCTCCCGCCAATTATCCTTACCCTCCTACTCTGCCCTGTATCTCTGAACAAGCTCAATTACCTCCCCTCCGGCCCAACTGCCACCATCTTCGCCCTGTTGGCGCAGTATCACGCCACCATCCCATACACATACCGCTACCGCATCGCGTCCACATCCTCCCCCGACACAACAAACACCAACAATACCGGCAATGATCCCTCCGCCGAAAATGCCACACAGACATCCCAAGCCAAACCTCCCGCACCAAGTCTATCCCTCCTCCTCTCCGATAAATCAACCACCTATATTGTCGCTGCCCAGCTAGCCCTCTCCCAATTCCCCGCGATGCTTCTCCCGTCGGCCCTGGGCTGGATCGTTGGTGTTGCATGGCGCGCGGAGCTGCTACCGGGTCTATCGCCGGCCAGCACCGGGTTCCGGGTTCCAGCTTGGGTGGTTGGTGAGCAAGAGCGGAGGAGTGGCTCTGGTTCTGGGCTTGGCGGTGCGGAGAGGGAAAGGTATGAAGATCTACGACGGAGGTTGGAGGGTGAAGTTGCTGCTTCGGCTTCGGGGTTAGAGGGATCTGGTGCGCAGGCTCAGAGGCGTGCGAATACTGCCGGCGAGGGTGGTGGGTTCGTTAATCGATTGATACGGGATTGGTAGATCTTTATCGTTTTTTTTTAATCGTGTTTCTTAATTTTTTTTGAGTGAGCTATGCAAGGCTGGTTGAATATGTCTATCTGGTATAGATATGCTGCGGGTAGTTGAGGTGGATCATTGGTTTCTTTGGGAGGTGCTATTAGAAATAGCCCGTCTTCAAAGGCCCTATCTTCGCACCGTCATCCTGAATCAATTCATGTGGTGCCCCCACGTTTACGACTCTCGCTTCCAATCCCTAGAAGTATGGAATACTCGGTGGTCGAAGAGAGAGGTGAGTAGTAAAACGAAAAGCCAGATAAGATCTGCAAATGAACAAAAGTCTAGAATATGAACTAGCAATGCCGTATCTCCGCTAGAGAATGTGCCATCTGAAAACACCACGTAACGCCATATCATCATCGTCTATAACCTTGAACAAACCATGTTACCGCCCATTGCGACTCCGTCTCATATTTTCCTTGCACTCGTTACAATACCATTTAACTAATGGAGACTGTTAGCAACATAAAGGATACCAACAAGGCAAAGAAGACTCTTACCATTTTTCCCAGGCGGTTTCGTCAAGCCCACACACGACAGATGGAACCATTCACGTGGACAGGCGTCATTATCGCAAGCAACCATCTCGCCAAAACTGATTTCATTACAGTAACAGTAGCGCGGCTCACCCTCCTCATCTTCATCGTCGCCCTCGTGAAGGGACTCGTCGTCAGAGGGTATTACAGGCTGTGGGATAGGCTTTTTCTGAGTTCTTTTGGTGGAGGCCGAGTCTCGACTTCGCGTAGGTCGTGCGTGTTGTTGGCTGTGTTCTGTGAATGCGGGAAGGATAGGGGTCGATGTTTTCGAATTGCGTCCCTTGGTTGTCTCGATCTCGACAGAACCGGCTTTTCCGTCCAAATCCTCACGTTTAGATCCCGTTGGAACGGATGTTCTACCGTTGGAATCGGCTTCATAATCACGATGTGTGTCTGCGTGCATAAGCTCATTTTTGATGGGCCCGTCCCGGATTGTGGACCTGGAATCGGCAATTTTGTCTGTGTAGGGTATGTGGTTAATTGATAGTTCCGGGAAGGGTAGTTGAAACGGCATACTGTTGTTGGGAAGGTTCGAAGCCGATGATGATGGCCGCGCGCGCGAATTGCCTGTAGGTCCAGAATTTTGCTGTGTCCGTGAAGATTGTGGTCTTGATGTGTTGGGTCCTGGACTGGCGGCACCTCGCGGTCCATTGAATGTTCCAATCAAAGGCGATGGGGCCAGAACAGGCGATGCAGCATTGGAAGCGTTGGCCCTAAAATAACGTTAGTTGGATACAGTAGCGAGAGGGGCGGAATGAGATATACTTCTTGCGCGCAGTGGCAGCCTGATTGGTAGCGCGAGACCGCTTCTTCTCAATTGGGTCTTTATTTGCAGCTCTCTGACTTACAGCCCCGCTAGCAGAGCGCTCCATTGGGACACTAGTGTCGGCCGGTAGTGGTCGTTCCACCTTCCGACGCTTGGGTGCAGCACTCGGATCAGCCGCGTGATCTCCACCTCGAGATTTCGCATTAGTAGTCTTGCGGGCGCCCGAGCTGCGTGTATCCTCATAATCCGCGTCAGCCTGTGCCCGACGTTGCTTCCGTGCCAGAACAGCATCGCGCCGCGCCTCACTGCGACTCGCAGCTTCCGCCTCTTGGAGCACGTGTGGTAGTTCCTGTCTTTGCGCTACCGCTTCCCGGCGCGGGCGTTCATTAGTCGCTGCCTTCGCGGTACTTTTGTTCGAGTACGCCCAGTGTGCCAGGCTGCCCAGGCGAGCCTCCTCGCTGATCTCGCCTGCAATATATGGGAAGACCGTGTCCAGTCGGACAGTTTGGCGATCTAATTCCTCGTTCGCGTTTGAAATGACGTGATTCTTCTCATCGGCGGTCATCATCAGGTCCGAGAGGCTTTGGCGAACACGATCGAAGAGAAGCCTGCGGTTTTTGCTCTCGGACGACTCCGGTGACTGAGATAGCTCCTGGCGCAAGAGAGAAGCTGTCAGTAAACATCCAGAATTTAAAATTAGACAAGTCGAGCGGAAGACTCACCTGGGGCAATACATCCTCCCGAATCACACCCCCGACGATAGGCGCCGGATGGGGAGGATGAGGAACGGGCTGTGACTGGGAGGAGAACTGTAGTAACTGCAGCAAATTTTCCTCGAGAGCCCACGCCTTCGCATCAACTTCCTTGAGAAGAGAATTGTGGCGACGGAACTCGCGCGGAAGCGCTGTTATAGCGTCGGTGAAATGCGTGAGCGCAGGATAAAAGCCGTGGGGAACAGGGGGCGTAGAAGGAATTTCAGCCGTCGAGCCTCGACCGAACGCGAAAGATGACCGTCCAATGGTTTTGGAGGTTCGAGACGGGTTTGTACGTGTCTGACGGGCGGACTGTCGGATTCCTTGGCCTTGGGAATTATTGACTGACGTCGAGACGGCGGACATGGTGAAAGGCATAGTTGGGACTGCGACTGGTGCCGTTGAAGGTGTGTTCAGGTGAGCTTACCCCAATTTTAGGGGGAGTTGGGAAGTTTTTGAAGAACCAATGGTGTTCAGCAATGATCTGGGACCATGTGCAATAGTCAACACCTCGCGTAGCACCAGGAGGGCATTGATGCAGGAAAAGCTGCTGCTGGGAAGTTTGGGTGCGGAGAAGAGCAGTCGAATCAGGTGAGAGTGCTGCCTGCGGCACCGACAAGGCATCCAATGCTGAATCATCCGAGCACGTGGGTGATGTCATATCAGGAACAATGTGTGAATGTACTCTGTACCGATACAATCAACACAGTTGAGGAGCTATGGGATGTAGAATGATACAAACAGAAAATGAAAAGCATTAATGTTCAAAAACCAGGGATTCTTTGAATTTTACATACAGCACGGGTCTAGGTCTAGACCGGGACCTTACATTAGGACAACCTAAAGACTGTCCTAGCATAGCCTGTGACGATGAACCTAGGACACATCGATAACACACAAAGGAAACAAGTAGAATGAGATGAAAGAGGTAGTCCAACAAGAAATTACACGCTAGGTTCTAGGAAGAACAATGAATATATGACACCCAACTCAACACAAGTGTCACTGCAAAATCCCAAAAATCTCATCAACAGAAGTCGAAGCAAATCACTGGGAATGCATTTACTCGCCCTTCAGGTGATCCTGGTGAATAGAGAAAGCATCCTCCAAGAGGTCCTGCTCCTCCTTGAGATGGACGGCCTTGAGACCAGTAGCGACGGAAGCACTGCCAGGGCGACCAGCGTACAGGACATGGCGGCGGTGGTGGTGCTCGGTAGCGTTCAGCAGGCTTTCAATACGGGGCTGAGCATAAGACCAGGCACCGGCGTTAAGCGGCTCCTCCTGGCACCAGACGATGTTCTTAGCGTTAGGGTAGCTGTCCAGGTTCTCCTTCAGCTGAGCCCAAGGGAAGGGGTGCAGTTGTTCAACACGGGTGATGGCAGTGTTGCGGATACCGTTGGCCTCGCGGTGCTTGATCAAGGCGGCATAGACCTGTCCGGAGCACAGGATGACACGTTCGATCTCCTCGGGAGCGTTGATGGCGGTGCCGTGGCCCTCATCGGGGATGATCCACTGGAAGTGGGACTCGCCGTTCAGGGCCTCAATGTCAGACCGGGCAATGGGGTGACGCAGCAGAGACTTGGAGAAGAAGATGACGAGAGGCTTGCGGAACTGGCGGTGGATCTGGCGACGGAGAATGTGGAAAAGGTTGGCAGGGGTGGTCATGCAGGCAATCTGCATGTTGCAGTCCTGGTGCTGACGGTCCAGCTTGTCAGCCGAGGGGAACACACGGGGCTCCTCGTTGCAAAGCTGGAGCCAACGCTCCATACGACCAGAAGAGTGCTCAGGACCCTGGCCATCATAACCATGAGGCAGAGACACAACCAGACCGGAACGCTGCAGCCACTTGGATTCACCAGAAGCGATAAACTGATCAATGATACACTGAGCGTTGTTGGCGAAGTCACCGAACTGAGCCTCCCACATCACAAGGGCATTGGGAGAGGTCAGAGAGTAACCGTACTCGAAGCCGAGACTATATCAAATGTTAGGATCGTTGTCACACGGAGAGTTTCAATTCAAAGAAACGTACCAACCGAACTCGCTCAGGGAAGAGTTGGAAATGACAAAGCTTCCCTGCTTGTCGGAAATGTGCTTCAGAGGAGTGTATGTGCGCTCAGTCTGCTGATCGTGCAGGACGGCGTGACGCTGAGAGAAGGTACCACGCTCAACATCCTGGCCGGAAACACGGACGTGGTAACCCTCATCAACGAGCGAACCGAAAGCGAGAGCCTCGGCAGTGGCCCAATCGATATTCTTGCCCTCATCGACAGTCTTCTTGCGTCCGCTCAAAATACGCTTGAGATTACGGTGGAGCTCAAAGCCCTCGGGAACACCGGTACCGGCAATCTTGTCAGCGATGTGCTGCAGGGACTTGGCAGGAACGGCGGTAGGCAGGTGAGGCAGGACCTCCGTGGCCAACTCCTTGGGAGACTTGAAGTTGTTCCAAGCGGAAGTCAGCCACTCCTTTCCGGTGGGCTGGTAGTCCTTGCTGCGGTCGAAACTGTCGCCGAGCATTCCCCAGACCCACTTCTTGTGCTCATCAATGTCCTCCTTAGTGAAGGTACCTTCAGCAATCAGCTTCTCAACGTACTTGTCGAGCTGAGTTTTCTGCTCAGCAATGCGCTTGTACATCAGGGGCTGGGTGAATGAAGGCTGATCAGTCTCGTTGTGACCCTGCTTACGGTAGCAGACCATGTCAATCACAACATCACGCTTGAACTCGGCACGCCAGTCAGCAGCGACCTGACAGACGTAGTTGACAGCCTCAACATCGTCGGCGTTCACGTGGAAGACGGGAGCGTCGATAGACTTGGCAATATCGGAACAGTAGGGAGTAGACCGGGAGTAACGGGGGTCAGTGGTGAAACCAATCTGGTTGTTCACGACAAGGTGGATGGTACCACCAGTCGAATAGGCGGGAAGGGAGTGGAATCCCATGGTCTCGTAGACAACACCCTGGCCAGCAAAGGCAGCGTCACCGTGCAGCAGAACACCCATGGCAGAGTCGTAGTTGGTCTCGTCGTTGTTGTAGTGCTGGATGGCACGGGTCTTTCCAAGAACGACAGGGTCCTCAGCCTCGAGGTGAGAGGGGTTGGCGACCAGAGACAGCTGCACCCGCTTACCGGAGGGAGTAGGACGCTCAAAGTTCATACCCAAGTGGTACTTGACATCACCGGAACCCTCATCGGAAGGCTCAGCAGAACCAGCAAACTCGCTGAAGATGGACTCGTTGGGCTTGCGGACGACGTTGGACAGAACGTTGAGACGACCACGATGAGGCATTCCAATAACGATATCCTTGATGCCGTAGTCGACGCTACGATCAATCAGAGCCTTCATACCAGGGACCAGGGTCTCGCAACCCTCCAGACCAAATCGCTTGTCGTTGGGGAACTTGGTAGCGAGGAAGGACTCAAAACTGGAAGACCAGATCAGACGGTCAAGGATGCGGCGCTTGTCGTCTACTGAGTAGTTGTAAGGTTGAGGGATCTCGAAGCGGTCACGGATCCACTCGCAAGGCTTGCGGTCGGGAATGTGAATGTACTCGACACCGTAAGAGCCACAGTAGATCTTCTCGCAAGTGGCGATGATCTCGCGCAGAGTCATCTTCTTGCGGTTTTCAGTGATGAAACGGGGCAAGATGCCGGGTCCAAGAGCAAACTCTTGGCTCAAGTCACTCTCGGTGAAACCGTAGTGGTCCAACTCAAGCTCCTTGGGCTTGTCATATCCAAAGGCCTCAGCCTCTCCGCGAATGCCCAGAGGATCGATCTTAGCCTTGTGGTGACCACGGGCCTGGTAGGCGCGGCAGAGCAACTGAACCTTCAAGTGCTTTGTCACGTCAGCGCCACCAGCGAGTCCCTGGCCGGGCATATCTTGGGGGACACCGCCTGTAGGAGTGGGGACAAGGGTAGGAGGAGGAGTGAAGGCCTGGGAAATAGGCATTTTACCCTCCTCCATGTTCCTGAAGTAAGTTTGCCATGAGATGTGAACACTCGAGGCATCGTTCTTCCATGCCATGTACATCTCATCGATATAGTTCGCAGTGCTACCAGTGAGGAAAGAATCGTTGGGGTCCTGTTCACGTAAGGGCGAGATCGCGCCGTCGCATTAGTCGAATGCCCGTTTGTTTTGTTTGGGTTATCTGAAACCCGGATCGGATCGCTACCGATCATAAGGATTGCTTTTGCTTACCACTCCTTGACTTTGGCCCTCCGCGGGGGCCGCGTAGGACCGGGCACCGTTGAAAGCACGGTCGACAACAGCAAGAGGCCGACGGGCGGTCCTGCTGAAGCCGGAGCTTTTTGAGGCGCTGCGAGCACTTGTAACGACGTGGAATGAGCGCCGACATGATGAAGAGGTCACACCACGCAGCATGCCGCTGTTGGTGGCCTTCAAAGCAGTGTTTCTAAACATTGGGGGATTTTTCTTGGATCAATGTCCAACAAAGTTTTCGATTGAAAGGAGAGGGGAATTGAAAGACGGTTGTTCGGGATTTTAGCAAAATCAGACGTAAAATAGTCAAATTCACTGTATGCTATAGCGTCAGCCTGGTATTGCCGAGTTGTCCTGCAGGGCGCGAGCAGACCGGAATACGGAGGAAAGGAAGAGGCGTAAGTACACGTACGTTATTAATCACAGAACAGGTGTCGACTAGTATTGCCGTAGCACCTGTTTAGAATCGGGACTCATGAAGAGCTTAAGCGCTCTAGATAAGAAAATAAAGTATGAAGGTAGAGGAAAGATGAAACGAAAGAAGAGCGCAAAAGGAAGAGCTGCCGAGAATGACGGGTCTCACGGCAGGTGAGGCTGGTGCGCTGACTCAGCCCGACATACTGCCGATGCTCGGGGAGAGGCGCCACCTTGTCGTGCAGGACCTCGGGAGACGCGCCCGAAGAGGCCATTTGCTCTCTGCAGCCGGCTAAACCATCGGACCCTTCCGCGGGAGTTTTCGGCCCAATGGCACTAAATGGGTTTGCTATTAATCATGGATCCCACTGGTCTCTCTGATTTTCTTGATTTCCCAATGCCAAGTCTTTTTTTGATGAGATCTAGTTGGATCTGAAGTTTCAACCTTTCACATCGGATTACGATCTGTATTAATATTAACATCTAAACTCTAGAACAGGCGATAAATTCATAAAATCGTAAAGATACGAAATCACCACACGAAGGGCATGTGCAATGTGCAGAGAAATATTAAATCATTATATCCAAACGGGAAAATCAGGCCCCATATTACAAGAAAGTTGTGTCGTTGAGGTCCGCTAATGAGGATTTCTTCAAAATCCGGCCGCCATCACAACGGCGAAGCAGTACGTGGGTAGCTCTCATCATGGGTATAACTGAGATTATTTGAGACCGTCTCATCGGGACTGAAAGGCCTCGCTTCAGAAACTGTTGGGCTTGCTTCAGCACCACTCAAGCTTGCACGTTGAGGGGACGAGAGCGTATGTGGTGGTGGACTACCTGCACTGCTGCGCAGGCTACCATTGCTCCCACCCCAGGCACCCTGGCGTAGCTTCATGAGTGCGCTCAGGGACATGTCATCGTCCAAATTGCTCATGTCAACCAGTTGCGCCAGTCCAGGGCTCGCTAGTGCTGAATTTGGATGGGTACCGCCGTGAGCCTTGACCGAGATCATAGAGTTGCGTGTACTCCATTCACTTCGTTCAGTTATGGGAGTCAAGCTGGGCTCCTGGAATTTGCCACGGCTGCTGTGGTTCCGGGTGATGCCTTCAACCCGTCGCGGACCAAAGTATCCACCATTAGTTAGCTCAGAGGCGCCAGTTCCATCTGCATGTGCGTAAAAGCCGAACTCTTGGCCGTAAAAGCCATCATCATCGTTCTCAAGAGCTTCGGCGTTAGCAGCAGCAACGATTTCGTCGTCGAAGTACGAATCATCGTTGTCATCATAGGAGTGGTTGTCGTAGGCCTGATCGTCGAAGACATCTTCGAACGCCATGGCATCTGCAGCTTGGCTAATCCGGCTGTTATCAGAAACAAGGCCCGGTTGCGAGTCTGTTGTCTGCGATGTTTGAGCTGCGCTGTATTGCCCCTGGGATGCTTCGCTCGTGCTGAAGTTGCGTTCAACCTGCGCACTATATAATGCTTCGTTGGCTGCAAAGGCTAGAGCATTGTGCAAAATATCTAAATTTTGCTCTGTGAGTACACCGCCACCATGGGCACGGACAGGGCCCATATTTGGTATTGGCTCGCCGAGGGGACCACGTTTGACCGATCCTGTGACCCTATAGTCACTAGCTACACTGGACATGTGTTGCAGACCTTGGAGCCCCCTTCCTGCCATGGAGCATTCTTTCCCTGCCGAGGAGTCATCCTCGCCCGAAACAGCACTGTCCGTTGGTAATGGTGCCGCAGGGGCACCGACCCGTCTTCGTTCGTATAAATGACTGTTTACGTCATCAAAAATGGATTCATCAAATCCACCGTCTTGATCGTCCACATCGAGATCTCCGAAATTGCCGTCATCGAAATAAAGATCGTCGTCGTCGTCGACCATGGAGGCCGCTTGTTTCGCAACCGGAACCTGCGGAAGGGTTGGTGTTGCCTCATTCCTGACATTCAGAGACGTTTGTATCTCTGGGGGTTGTTGGGAGGGGACATCGTCCAGTTGTGTCACTTCAGAGAGCTGAGAGGTACGGTGAGAGGCATTTGTTGGTTCTGCCGATGCAGCGGCGACCGGGCTAGTAACCACGGGGGACAATGCCGGGACAGCCCAGCTCTTCGCCTTGTTGATGTCTCGCGAAAGTGAGAAATCATCGAGATCGTCATCGGCATCTGCATTGACGCCAGGAATCTTTTCTTCCAGACCATCCAGGTCGTCCATCATGTCATCATCGAAGTCCTCGTCGAAGTCTCCGTCGAAGTCATCAAAATACCCATCCTCCATTCTGCGAGAAGCTTCCTTGGCCTTGTGCTTCTCTTCTAGCATTTTCTCTTGTGTAGATGATGCTACTCCAATCATATCGAAGCTGAATCGAGAGGCATTGCTCTTGAGATGTCTAGGCAAGGCAGAGGGATTGAAGGGTACATTAGGAATCGTGTCTTGATCTTGAGGGTGCTGAGGATGAGCATGAGAGATTGTGTTTGGTTGGCTTGGGGAAGATTCCTTCGCTCTAGGCTCGGGCTGCTCTGAAACAACTACAGTTCCTTCTGGTGGATGAGTAGGCAAGTTTCGCGCAAAGACCGGCAATGAGCTATCACAACTAGGCTGTGGTTGGCCTGTTAAAAGTGAAGACTGGAGATAACCCTTATTTTCCACCTGTAGAACATTCTGGTCCTCAAAGTGTTCCTTAAAAACAGGCGAATGATCACCGTGCCGTTTTGCCTGATCATTCCAGTGGGGCCCACGCGGTTGACTGGGTATTTGTGGTGGTGAGACATCCTGCCCGTTCACATGTGTATCCTGCCGAGTAGCCGAAAGATTGCGGCGAGGCCGGGGCGCAGAGAAGTCATGGACAATCTTTCCACGAATTCTGGGGTCATAGTCATCTGGCATAGCAGGAACATTCCTATTCTTGATTTTGACATCTTCTGCGCGGGAGCTAACCAACTGCGAGGAGCGCCTGCGCGCAAGAAGAGACATCGGATTCAAGAGATGGAACATCGCCTTACCCGATTTGTGATGTGACTGTTCTACGGACACATCACGATCTCCGATGCGCCGAACAGCTGCACCACCATCCATCTTGAAATCCTTCTGTGGTATTGTTTGTTTATCCGCCGGTGAGTCGTCGGGTGAGGATCTGAACCGGAAGTGACCTGACCCCGTTGCCGCAGTTGGTGACCGTTTCTGCTTGCCAAACGAACGTCTAAAGGGCGAACTCGATTTTAAATTCGACTCCGCATCTCCTTGATCGGACTGTAGACCCATCATTGACAGTTGAGAATTATCCGACTGGGTTGTGAACTGTTCTTCCCCGCTGTCACCGGGGCTGGAATGAGGACGGCTTTCGTTTTCGACTGCCGGCGATGGAACAGCAAGAGTGATCGAGGAGGAAAGTGGCGCGACCGATGAGCTGATATTGAGCTTCGAAGAGTCGATGTCCAGCGGCGAGTGGTTTGAGTGGGGGCCATCGGGTGAGGAGTGACCGTCGAGGGTAGTGGTGAGCGTTGGTTTATTCGAAATCTCTGTAATCTGGGGAGGGCTTCTAATCGGGCTTCCATTCGCCCCTTTAACGGGTGAGGGCGCGGGGATTGAAGCAGGCGATGCGGCCGAACGTCGATGGTCTCGGCGCCAATACGAGAACACAGTAGACGGCGGCATGGCGGCTATATGAGGCCCTCACAAACGCCAGATCGAGTCGCGAGAATTAACAAGGGGCGTAATCTTCCATTGCAGTTATCAACTGCACGTGGGTATCGAACAAAGACGGTGTCAAATACAGACAACTGGACCGTGGGGGAAAGCAAAATCCTCCCGTGAACTTTCAAGGTTCTTATGTCTCGACCTTCTGTAAGCCCACTGAAATCAATTTGACGAGAAGAAGGGGCAATTCACAGTAAGCTTGAAAAGGAATAGTCTATACCTTGATATCTATTTATGTAGAAGAAAAGAGATCAACGTAACGCGCGGCTAAAAGTTGGGGTCGCACCCTGACCGGCTGTAGTGTCTGGGCCTAAATGCAATATCGCGTCACATTCTTGCCCCTACTTGGTTCTTCATCTTGACCCTTTTTTTAAGGCTCATAGATCAAATCCCCCGAAAACGTGTGCGGTGATTCTTCTATAAATCGTACTATTATGCTACATGGATATCACCCGAGAAAACTGAATCAAAGAATGACACGCTCAAACCATGTGCTATGCTAACAGACAAAACAGCAAGTAAAAATTAATAGGTGACGCTTTCAATGAATGCTTTGCCTCCAGCGGTCGATCACGTCGGTTTTGACCGGTCCAGGATGTTGTGACATGCTTGGAGCGTACCCCATACCATTCACGCCTATCCTAGGGTTCATGGGATATCCATATTGCTGTGCCATCGGGTATCCTGCAAGTGTCGGGTATCCCATTTGTGTCGGGAATTGTTGCATAGACATGCGGTTTCCAAATTGGGACATGGTGACAGGTCGCTGATTGAAGATATCATACGAAGACTGGCGATTAAGCTGGGAAGGACGACGACCCTGTGTAAGCGCAGCCATGCTTCGACGCATTCGCGGGTTCTTTTGGGGCGCGAGTTGGGCAGCGGCTTCTTTCTGCAGTCGACTGCGTCGTTGTGCGAGTGTCTCTTCCTCGTTGGCGGTGGGGACTTCTTGGGGTTCTTTGGGCGCGATTCCAGCTCGGGAGTCAATCTCGGCCATCAGGTCGCTAGCAAATTTGCTCTCCGAGCGGTTGTGTCCCTTCAACCGTTGCAGCCGCTCGGCGAGGGTTTCTATCTCAGTCTCATCATCACTCTGGGCGGCTGGCTCAGGAACATGCGCCGGGGGCCCTGGCGTATACACTGTAGCAGGACGTTGCTCCTGCTGCGGGAGTTGTTTACCCTTTAGTCGGGCACGGCGTGAACTCAGTGGCTCATTTTCTTCCAGTTCGCGCTTTTCGATCAACCCCAAAGGACGATCATCATTCTCGGCACTGGTTTTTTCGGGGTATAGCACAGCCAAAGGAACGTCGTCGTCTTCGTCCCGCCCTTCCCAGGCCAAAGCGACGGGGCGCTGCCGGCGGCTGTCACTTTGCTTTTGGGCCAATTCGTCAATTTCCAACAAAGTGCTCCGCATACCATTCAAAGGCACAGCCGTCCGGCGTCGGTGCTTCAACTCATGCTTCCGCAACTCCAATTCGGCGATGAGCGTGTTCGGTGGACTGACATAATCCAACCCTCCTTCGTCCTCGTCCTCTTCGTCTTCAGATTGCTGATCACTTTCGGTATCAGTGTCTTCGGACCCACGCTCATGGCCGTGCTCATCATGATTTCTGTCCGAGTCATTTCCGGCTTCCGATCCATATCGCGAAGTTACGGGATCCCCATGCTCGTCTATATTGTTGGTGCTATACGGCTGACCAATCGTGGCTCGCGAAAGACGATTTGTCTTTTGCCCTGTCAGGTGTTTTGCCAAGCTCTTGCGTTTTGGTTTGCCGTAGATGACCGACCCGACATGACCAGCGTACGGGTGATCAGTGAAAGCCGAAACGGGCGCATTCGCAGAGGCGTCCAAAATGCTATCCAGCGTAGCAACCGCAGAATCTTGCTTAACCGCGACTTGAAGTGATGTGCTGGGCTGGTCAAAAAACACACTCGCACGGAGATGTGGTGGCACTGTCGATTTGCGTTTATCGTCACGGCCATCGCGTGGGTCTTTTTGGTCTGCATCAAGGAGCACAGCAGTTGGCTTTCTATCTTCAGCGGCGATGGCACCTGCAATCTGCGTACGACGCTTATCCCGGTCAATGTTTGCCTTCCGCGACAACTTTGGTGGCAGATTCAACATGCGTGGGACAGGGGCAGGATAAAACACCATATTCTCTCCTGCTTGCGGTCGTTTGTAATGTTCCGGCTTGCGGGCGAGCGGCGGCTGCTCCAAAGAAACCAGGCGACCCGGTTCCGTGAAATGGACGCCGTCAAAGTCAGTGAAGAGTGTCCGCGCTTGCTGGTAGGTATCGCCGGATGCGACCGAGGCCCGGCGCTCCAACACTGTCTCTGCGGGGGCTCCTTGCGGAACATATTGGTCGTCGTAGTAATCGTTTTTTGTATCGAAAAGGGGTTGTGAGGGGGGAAGATCGGGGAGCGCGGGAAATTCATCCACCTCAAGCTTATGCTCGTCATGTGCAGGCTCCGAGAGCTGAGCCAGACGCGCCCCTGATACGGAGCGCTGGCGGGCCGGGGATACATTCGATCCATGGGCAGAGGAAGTTGTCGCTGCTGGGGAGAACGCGCCATTCCGGTGAATCAATGAATTCGACGCGGAACTGATTGAGCGTCGCTTTTGCTCTTGATCTATGCGACGGATCTCGCTCTCAATGTCCGCGGAGCACGAGCTCAGCTGCTCCGCACTTTCCTCTAACCGCGTTACATTTCCTTTGTACGCTCCTTGTATCGACTGCAAATCTGGGGTAGGGTGGCTGAGAGGTACGGGAACCTCGCTGCATGTGCTGTGGATAGGGGTTTCGGGAGAAAGGTGTCGCACGACAGAATCATTGAGTGGTGGAATTCGGAGGCTGTTGGATCGCTCTTCGGGGGAAGGATCGACGTCGTAGTCATCGTCCTCCACCACATCGTAGCTGGTAGAAGTCATGGAACGGATTATCGAGCCTAACTGACTGAAGCTGGAGTTGTCTGTGGATTTGGCAGCTTCTAAATGGCTTCCTCCCCCGATGTGATCAGTATCAAGTGGCAGCTGTTCAAATGCATGTCCATGAGTGGGCGAGGGGCTGCGTGATACAGAAGCGGAAGAAACAGAAGCCACCTCGTGGTCAACTTGAGCGACGGCGTTGTACGCCATAATATAGGTCTTGGTCACCGACTATCCATTCAGACTAGTTCAAATCGATAGTGGATTTCAGGATCAAAGAGAATCGAGATAACAGGGATACCCAACAAAGAATTCAAGCCAGACTGGAGGGATAAGGGGAAGAAACGAAAACCCAGGAAAGTTGGCTGAGAATCACTAATTTTGGAAGTTTGTTGTCGTACAATAATATGGCCCTGGAATGCCAGAGATTAATGAGAGTGTCTGATGCTAATTATATATCGATGTAATTTCCTCCTAAATCTCCCCGAAACAAGGAATTTACGGCACTAAACCATTTAAGGAATCTTTGCGTATATGTCTTAGACCAGTTAACACGTTGAATACGCCGAGTCAGGCTGATTTGACTCTCCACTCCGTTCTAGAGGTCTTGGCATTTTTTCAAGGTCTATATAAGTCTTCTGTCTCTAGAAGAAAAAGGTCTTAGGCGACTGAGAACATGCTAATCCCCCCTTATTCTTTATCTTATCATTTTCCTGCAGGGTTTCCGCTAATATACATGAATGCATCTCGAACAGGCAATTTCGAGATGTATGCATCTGAGCTGAAGTACTTGACAACCTTGACATCCCGGACCAATTAGGCTATGAACAGATCTTGCGGTCTCAACTGTTATTCCAGTAGATTGCTTGACCTTGCTGGTATGTGATTATCGAAATCAAATTGATTCCAAGCCGCGTGCTCGTGACACTCAATATGGTCGCGTGACCGGACCTATGCAGATAGCCGATACCAAAACACAACCTTGCGTGCACCTCATCTTATTTTCATGTCACTTCTGAGACAGGGCAACGATCTATTGAAATCCTACCATCGGAACAATTTTCTCAAAGTTATACGGCCCCATGAACACAATTTGAAACCCCACATTTCAATCTATCGCTGGCACAGTGTTCCTGTTCTCCTTGAAATGATGACCAACAGCCTCATGTCCCCGTCACAGAGGGCCGAAATTGATCCATACGGGGATACCAGAGATAATGATAAACAGGTCCACTCATTTGTCATAGAACTCGGGAGAGATACTCAGCTGACTATTTGGCTACGCCACGGTTGCAGAAGGCAATACCAGTATCCTCAATAGAAAGTGGTGACCGGGGAATCCCGAAAGAGGGAGTCGAAGCTAATCTACCCAGTGTCCATAAAATTGTCCAAGTCGCTTTCGGGGAGATGATCGCGGACTTTGACAGCTTTATCTCGAATTGGAATCACAGACACAGTTGGTCTCCGATGACCACGACGATTTCCTGCATCTAACCCTAGTGGCTTTTTTGATGAGCCAGGGGCCGGCGGCAATTATCTCGCAAGAAATGATTAGCTTAGGCGGTCAAGATCTGCGTAGATTCATGGCGATGTCCGGTGCTTTGCCCAGTGGCCGGCTGCAAGAACAAGCAGGTATGAACAGTCCCCATCTATCCTGATTCATTTCCGACTCGAATTTCAGAAGCTCTCCATGGCGGTCCACTAATGATTCAGGCTATCACCGTTCTCCGGGAAAAAAATGTTACTTTGACCTGCCGTCGTTGGCATCGGGATATCAGATATCAACCATCTAAGTATCAAGCAGCTTCTCCATTAAGACTGTTTTGTTTTGGCTCTTTCGAATTATTCAATACTGCTTTGACACGTTCCCGCTTTTCAAAAAACGGAACCATTCCGGCTTACGTGCTAATCTGCTCAAAATCGACGCAAGGCTGTGGCTAGGTCATTCCAACACGTTGCCGTGTGCATAAAGACCACATCGCCCGTTTTAACATGAATCCTGACGGAGGAAATTACTACTTAAACGAGAGACAGGACGGCTTATACATCATTTCTAACAGCAGTGAAACCGCAAACGACATGTCTGGTATGACCCTCACTTCCAGGATGTACAACACATATTAACAGATTGAGTATCCAGAATCTCAGGGTAAACCTGCCCCTCTCCGCGTGGGCATAGTGCTATTCCCAGGCTTCCAAGCCTTGGATGTATTTGGCCCAGTGGACTGCATGAACGTCCTGTCATGGAGCCACAGCGTGACGTTGGCACTCATATCCTCAACCTTGGAGCCAGTGACAACGAAGTCGCCAGCATCCGCCAATGCCATAGGCCAAAGTGTGGTGCCAACCCACACCTTCGCAACAGCACCGTCTCTAGATCTGCTTTTCATCCCTGGTGGCCTGGGCACACGCGGCTCGAGTCCAGCAATCGAGGAAGCAATCTCCTACGTCCGGAACGTATATCCCCAGCTGGGCTATCTCATCACAGTGTGTACTGGCGCCGGGCTTGCGGCTCGAGCTGGGGTTCTGGATGGGAAACGAGCCACGACGAACAAGATGGCCTGGGCTGAGATCACAAGCTTGAGGGTGGATGTTGATTGGGTTCCTCGTGCGAGATGGGTCATTGATGGCAAAATTTGGTCCTCCTCCGGGGTTAGCGCTGGTATTGATGTTACATTTGCTTGGATTGAAGAGGTCTATGGAAGCGAGTTGGCAAGGAAGATCTCGGATAGCATGGAATATACTCGACATAAGGACCCTACTCACGACCCGTTTGCTGAACTTTATGGGCTTTGAGTCAGCTACTATGTTTTTGTCTACATCTGGAGGGTCTCCATCTTGGTTGAAATTTTGATAGGAAAGGAAGTCTAGACCATCGCAAGGAGATACGATTGGTTGACTTTCCGCAGTATCGCGAATTGAGAAAGCTATTTCTAGGCCAGCTGCATGCTCAATCATCGGCTTGTGTCGCATGGCATTGTTCGTCTACTCGGATCAGAAAAGCAGAGCAATTAGAAGCTATCTTCTTGTACGGGAACAACCAACAAATCCGATCCATTTAATTTGTGCTATTCATCACTCACTGAGATCATACCTAGTAATCATATTTTACATTTTTTGAACTCCCGTAGTGTAAGTTTACCAGCATCAACAGAATCCTCAAACATGATAAGTACCGAAACTAGTCGAAGTCCATTGAAAGAGGAGCTGCACGTAGGTCAACTTTTCTGATGCCGCCGAGTGAAACCCCCTTGATGAACATTGTAATCAAACAATCACCCTACCTATATAAATATCGCGCCGAGACGCTGTGGCGTGCATGCGTCCGTGCTACGTAGGGTACATAAAATATGTGATATCTTGTGCCTGGGGTTAGCGACTGAGCCTGAAATTCCCAGGGCGGGTCCGATACTCAATAGTGCGTTGGCTTCTTTCACTTTAAAGAGGTTTTCTTGATCCTTCTGAGATGTTCAGAGAAAAACTAGCTTGTGTGATGACTGGTTATCACGTCGCAGAGTATGAGATGCGCTTCGGGAGGTGACGGTCTGAGGATTGTTTGATTACCTCGTCCCCCCCCCCCCCCCCGGTCCCTGTCGAGTCATAGTTTATTCATCATGACTCTTCGATGGCAGAAAGGAAGGGGAGATCCCTGAGCTCATAACCCCTAGGAGTTGTAATGGAGGTTATCGGTATCTCCATCAATTTCCCATGCCTCGCGTGGCACGTGACCGCGCGCCGCCATCGACGCGCCTCAATCTCACTTGCGATCAACAGAACATGAAAATTCCAACGTGGCATTATGTCTTACTATGATATTGACTCCATCTTGACTGATGCACAGGTGAGTTCAGTGCGACTACATGCCCTCGCCGTCAACTGTCAGAGATGAACAAGTGCTAACATTGGATCCAGAAACTGCCGTGTACCTTTGAGCTCGAAGTACCCGGCCTCGGTATTCTAGAGGGAAATGCAGGTGAAGATGTGAGGAAATGCTCTACTTTTTTTAATCGCCCAGCTCCACCTGTTCCTGACCTATGCACAGATCAAAGCTGGAACCCGGATCGATCTTCCCATATGGCTAGGTGAAATGCTCTCGATCGGGTAAGGTCCCACCCAGCTCAGTCTCCTCGGAGAACCAGCCATGCAATTTGAAATGTTGCTAACGTGCTCTCTGTGGTCATTCCAGAGCACGTCTCGGAACGTCCCGTCTGGTTACGCTTGACATGCCCGAGGCGCTTTCGGAGCGGGTGATGAATGCGTTGAAGGCAGATCCCCGCACGCTTGACTTGCGCGCGTTAGCACCGCATTTCTACAACCTGAGTGAGCGGATCCTCGAACTCTTCGAGGAAGAAGAGATGGTGGATGTTCTCGGAGATGTAGGTGTCTCTGATCCCCGCGGCTGAAGACCGGTGATTGGCCGAGTTGGGACTAACGAGGTGTCAGGCATTCAAGAAACGCGCAGCAGAGATCGCTGACCACGCGCACAACTCGCGCGGTACAATTGGTGGCGGGGTTGATTTCCTTCGCGGTCTGGATGAGACTGAGCGACAATGTATGCTCTGATAGTCCCTGTTTTGGAGGTCCTGGAGTGTGGGTTGAGGAGCATGTCACTAACAGATTTGGTTCGATAGTGTTCCGCGCTGCTCATGATCGGGCCAAGGAGATGCGGATCTGGTCTGGAGAGGCGAAACGTAAGTAATCCTTTTTTGTGACTCGGCATTTCTCGTGGGCTCTGAGCTGCGCTCGCTTATGAAGGTTATGATACATTTAATGCGACTATGTGATTCTTCCATCCGATAGGCTTCGTGTGACGTAGCACAGGATTTTGGCTTGGTCTGACTTTATTTTATTCTTACGGTATTCAATTTCTTTTCAGACTCTTGAACTGCCATTTTAAACGAAGAAATTAAAAAAAAATTCTGACAGATGCCCAACATCTTAATGTTGAGATCTCGACTTTCAAGGATATGGACTAGGTTGATAATCCCCACCCTTTTTTTTGTCTCGGCTTTTTCTTGGGGAGGGGTTTTTTTTTCAGAACCTAGGAATTTATAGAAATTTTTTTTGGTTTTTCTGTTCTATGAAGGTTCTACAGACTGATTGTATCGACATGATTAATGGAGATATGTTTTATATATATTCCTATCTCATCTCCCTAATCATGGAACTCCGCAACACTTCAGTCACCAAAGGAGAAACCCCGCGTAAGGGCTGACTGCCCCACGGCTCCGATCCGATTGGTGTGACTGTCAAGAAACAGAGTTACCGTCGATAGCGAATTGATCGTCGTGCTAAGGAGTCCATGGAATCTAGCCTCGAAGGGAGATTGAAATGAAAGATAGGGCGTATACAAAATAAGATCATTTACATTTGAATACCATCTTTGCGGATGTTTCTTCCATTCTTCCATTCTTTCATTCCTAATGTATTATGACAAACTGTCCTTCAAAACAAAGAACATCTACATAAGTGGGGCTGGTGACTACACCCTTTTTTTTCCCTATTAGAGACTCATCATAATTCATTTGATCACCCTCGCTTCTTTTGACTTGTCCTGATCTTTCTCCCTTGACTTTTGAGGTTGTAAATAACCCCTCTATGCCTTGATTCGGGTCTATTGGCTCTACAATCCTACCTTGCACTCCACAGGTTCGACCTAGCCTCTGATTGCTCCCCACCTGCAACACATCTGCATCCCTCGCATCGCGCCAGCGTGTTACCCACCACCATCCAACCCGCCTATCCAATCGAAATCAATTCACCTGGATCCATCCATTAATCCTCCGATGCGGCTGGTGAATTAGTGCAGGAAATTCTTACCGCGGTGTCCACTAATTGATCCGGATACTGCAGTGTGGCTCCGAACAGGGAAACCGGGGGCTTTTTGCGGCACGTCAATTATGCGTATTCGGTAAACATCCTGCCAGCAGCCATTATGGATGAGAAACCCCCAAGAAGGAGCTCGGCCGCTGGTCAGCCTGCTTCACCGTACTCCGTATATGATCCCAGGACTACACCTAAACGCAGCGTTTCTTCTGAAGACCACTCACCAAGTACGTGATCTCTCAATTCTACACGTTCTTGAATTGAGTTTCCGATCTCAGGGTCACTGAATGAAAGCTGACTTTGCTTCTTCCCCAAGAATTGCCAGACCGTCTACAGCACCCATCACTTTCCCGCGTCAAGGGCCGAACCAGGATGTTTACTCCGCCTCGACTGAGTGCAGAGGCCTCGTGGCTGAGAGACCAATCACCTACCCACCATGGCACAAGGACGCCAATCCGCTCATCTGGTATGGCTTCCGATTACCGGCAACGTCGGATGGGCTCTAGAGCATAAGTGACTGATTATTTGGGGCGCAGATACCCCTGAACCAGGCACCCCTACACTGGTGAACCCTGCCTCGGCTCTCTTGCAGGGTTTGCTGAAAGAAGAACGCGCCCACCGAAGCTCCCGAGGAACCATATTAGAGGACTACAAAGATTCTTCTCCCCCAACTCCTGAAACCACGCGAACGCAGGGGGAGACTGCGTCGGAAAAGGCACATAAAGCGAACGACGTCTTCTCCGCCGGTCAGAGGAAACCGAAAGAGATGGGGATGCGGGAAATGGACCAAGTGAGTTCAGGAGGATGGAACACCCATGAGCCCGATCTAATGTGTTTGAAGTATGTCTCCAAGATGAACAAGCTCAATTTCGATTTGAAGCTCGAGATTTTCCACCGCACACAGCAGATTGCTATGCTGGAAAAGAAGCTGGAACGGATGGCGGAGATGGAAGAACAACTGGCGCACATGGACGATTTGGTTACAGAAGTGAAAGAACTCCGAACCACCGAGAAAGACAACCAGATCCTGCGTGAATCCAACGAGCAACTCCGCATTGACCTTGACAAGCGAGACGTGGCTGTTACCGAAGCCGTCGAGCTCATCTGCCAATTAGAATCGAAAATTGACATGCTGGAGAATGGCGACCGGACCTCCAGGCTGTCTGTGTCACGCCCGATAACCGCCGATGGCTCCGAGGCATTTGCGCCGAAATCCCAGACCATGATTGAGATCCCGGAAAGAACCTCTTCCAAGCGAAATTCAGGTGTCTTGAGCGTTGCTCAGCACCAGGCATCGTCTGAGCGACGCAAACTCTCGAAAGCACCCTCCTTCCTACGAGCGGATAACAAGAGTACTGCCACGTTGCGAAGCCTTTATGTTCCCGAAGAAGAAGCTCAGTCACGCTCTGCAAGGACTGAACTTTCAAAATCGGAGAGCTTCCACACGACCACCGAGGGTATGGACCCCGAGTCTCCCAGACTGAGCGTGCTGAGTGAATGCAGTGAGCTGAATCCGTTCGACACGCCTACGAGGTGGCAAGATTTTGATCAGCTCGAGATTCCAGTTCGGAGATCTTCATCGACCTCAGGCAGCTTGGATAGCTATGCTGCCCCCAGCAGGCGGGAAGACAGCAAAGAAGACCAGATTGATCGGTGGATTCAGTCCCGCGAAGACGTGAACCAGACTATCATCACGAGACGGAGAAACCGAGCATCATCTGATGCCACCAAGGACAGCATTCCCGACTATGCACCAGACTTGTATGCTCCTAAGCCGCGTGGGCGCGGACGTCTGGATGCATCTCTTTTCGGAGGGCTCATGTTTCCTCCCACTCCTGATACTATGAGTACGGCGTATGCTACCGGTGCAAACCGATCGGATGGGTCGAATGTGTCGAATAGGAGCGTTGCAGCACAAAAGAGTCTACAGACCGAGCAGGATTTGTTTTTCCCTGACAGGCGAGTTAACCGCCCATGTTCCGCGGAAGCGATGGCCAGTTGCTATAGCTTCAATGGCAGTGAGGTTGATGACAGCATGCAAGCCAACTGCAGTGATACTCCGCGCCTAGGAGTCACAGCTGACGAGTCGCGTACTATGTTGCCCCCCTTCCCCACCGTTTCCTCGAAAGCCAGCGCACTTCTCGGGCCCGGAAGCCCCAACAACCCTTCTATTGAGTCATTTAGGGATTTATACCATGCAAATGCCAGCCAAGCATCGACCCCAACAATTAAACGTGTCCGTAGCCCAACCAAGGCTATGACCCCAGAGCCGCACACCCGTGATCGTGACTCTTCCTCACCGCTCACACCTCAAGACTGGGTTGCCGCTGCAAAGCAGGGTCCACGGTCTCGCAAGCCCAAGCCGCGTGAGACCTGCGACGAAATTCAACAGGCAGAGCAGTCACCACGCAATGCCACCCGCCCTGCTATATTCCACGACGACAGCAGTGTTGCTTCGGATCCAAGCGAGCCCGGGGTCCCCAGTATTCCAACTCTTGACATGACCACTCTAGACATCCTAGAACAACCCTTCGACCTCGCCCCGTCAAAGCCCAAACCTGAAGCCAACCCTGAACCCCGTCGACGCCTCAGCTTCATACCCCCATTTTTCAATCGCTCAACCAACAATGCCCGTCGATTACCAGGCCTTCCAGCTCCAAAAGGCTTCAAAGACGACCACGAAGACGGCGCCCCATCCCCGGTAATCCCCAAAACCAGGACAATGGGCGGCGCCTCTCGAAGACCCATGTCCCAAACAATCACCGTCCCAAACGACTTTTACTCATCCAACCCCTTAATCCATAATGAAGAATCGCTCTCGGCCTCCAGGCCACGAGGATTCGGGCAATCGTCGACAACGTCAACACTTGCCGACCAAACCAGCTCTGCAGCAGTGTCAGGACGCCCCTTCACATCTCATGGCATGGAAGTTGAACACAAGAGGCGCAGTTCACTGGGCATCTTCGGCTGGATGAAGAGCAAACGCTCTGATTCAGTGTCTCTTTCTGGGACGGAGAAGTCCACTGACACCACGCAGAAAGAGAATCGCGCTTCTTCGCGTCTAGCGTACGAAACTCCTCAGGGACTTGGGATCCCCCGTGGCGACACGCCGGACTCCATGGAGGCTCATGCCCGACCTCAGTTCGAGATGGCTGTTCATGCAGATGACCATGCGAGACGACCTCGATATATGGGTCGTCGTGCTCGCAGGAGTTGAGCTTCTCCAGAGACAGTCATTGAGGCCTCACTCCCCTTTCTCTATTTTCTTTACTTCGTCTCTCTTTGCCTTCACCCTGCTTGTTCTTCTCCCCTTCTGTACCATATGATACCCAATCTTGTATACACAGTAGCATGGCTGCATTGCTTTTGCTATTATTGTTCACTCCTCAGAAACACTTGAACGCATTGTGTACTATGATCTCTCTGCATTTCATCCTATCTTTTTGCTTTTATTGACATATGCGATTCACGACTCTAGGCTTCAGCCATTTTGTCAGTTTTTGATATCAATCCTGCTGGCAGGGTCAATCTAAAATGTGTTACATCGTTCAGTATGCTATCTTACAAATCACTTGGTTGTATCAGAAGCAAGCACGGTGTGAAATTATCCCATCATATGTATCTAGGCAGTGTGTTATTAGCGAGACTACCCATTTAATACTAACGCAATGGGCACAAAACCTGTCTTCCCTCCTTCCATTCCCACGTTCGTTGTGTCTTGACGAGTCCTCACGACTCGAAAAACCCCGACTCTGGCGGGTCAAATCGATGGTTCTCGTCGCTGCTGTGGAGGTGGATCACTTAAAAGATGAAACGTTTCAAACCCTCGATAGCCAGCTTACGAACCTCTTCTTTGCATTCCCGGCGCGACAACAAGAGTGCCAAACACAAAAGGGGCCCCCTCCTAGTCGACATTAGTAAAGCATCCATCAATCAGGAAGATCTGAGATTCATCTTACAATGTGCGTCTTGGTGATGTGGCGACGGAGGTTTGAGGCCATCAGCCTTGTCCGATTGACCTTGTTGAATTCCCTACAGTAGGGACATCTGAATGCGCAGGGGGCAATTATCTATATAATGCAGCACACGTGAGTTTCGAGCCCAGGACGGGTTATCGGTTTGGAATAGAGTACGCACCAGCTCGGCATGCCCGAGGGGCCACTGCCACACGCGGTGGTTTGGGCAGTCACAAAGAAATTTGGTGGGTGTGCTGATATAATTCAATCGTCAGCTTACATGGCTAGGATCAATGGTGAAATGATCTCGACACTTACGCGAAAATCGGGGGCTCGTTGGAACCACGTGCTCTCCAGTAGCTGCACTGGGGCGTGGAGCCAGTGCCAGTGCCAGCGCTATTGCCAGTGTCAGTGACAGTGCTAGGATCGGGGCCAGGGTCGGGATTATCCTCAGCGCTGAGAGCTTGGGAAGTGGACATCACGGCGGATATCGCTGGTGCGAGTTGAGTAGGTTGTCTTGATGTGGTGGTAGAAGAGATCAAGAGAGGAAGCGGGGGAAGTAGAGAGGATATATTGCTATCACCCGAAGAGCAGGCAGCAGGGCTGTCAATGGACGTGATGTGTTGTTCAATGTCGCAATGTGACATTATCGATGGGAATAATATGACCTGGTAGTATTGACGAGTGTGAAGGAAGCACGTCGTATGTAAGAGGGAGCCTAGCTCTCTAACAAACCGACGAGGTTTGAATTGACCTCTGGAGTTGATATTCATGCCTGGGACATGCTAGTTCTGGACAACCTCCTTGTGGGAAGAGCATAGCTTGCAATGTCACTCGATTGTATAAGATCAATATCAAATTCAGACAACTCCAAGCTCCAGGCAGTTTTGTTCCCAACTCCAGTTCTTCAATTTCCAAAACGCCCAAACAGCCTTATTGTACAGTAAATCAAAGCATTCAACCCCCAAAGAATGCCCTATCTATATGATAAAATATTAATCTCAGCCCAAAGCCTAATACCACTGATTCCCCTCCTCCCCACGCGTCTTCTTCTTCGGATTCAGCGAAACAACCCGTTGGCCAGGAAGCGTATCCGCCGTAAAAGCCGCCTCAAAGATACTCGCAATTCCACGCTTAGCATAGTGCTCAAAGGAATTATACTCATCCGTCTTCCCATTGACAGCCTCCCACTCAATCCCGCCAGGCGTAGTCCCATCTCCAAGATCAGTCCACCGCGTCACAACAATACACTGCTTGAACCTGCGATCCACCTGATCCTCACTCAACTTAACCTCAATCAGATACTCAGTCGGACACTCAGGACACCTCCGCATCGGCCGACAAAACCCACACAGAGTCGTCAGCGCATTCGGATCAAACGTCTGTCCCGCAATGCGGTCCTTGACCCGATGCTCGAGCCCCTGCAACCCGCCAGTGCTCCGCGGCCGCGGAATATGCTCCAGCGCACACTTACACGCCGGCATCAATTCGCCGTCGCGCCAGTGCGCGCACACGCTAAAGTACGGACAGTAGTCATCGCGCGAGTAGAGCAGCATGCGCTGCGCGGACGGCGTGAGAGCCGGCGCCGCAAAGGTCTGGCTGGTGACGCGCATTAGAAGCCTGCCTGCGTGGATGTGGAAGCGCGATGTGTGCGACCAGTTGTCGCGCTGCCAGCGTCGACCGAGCGCGTCTGGGGCCAGCCCGTAGCTGGGGCCGAAGCGGTGGGCGCGCATGGCTAGTTGTACGAATGTGAAGGGCAGGCTGCGGCCGTGGGTTATACGGTGGCGAGCTGGAGGGTTCACGGCATTTGTTGAGTTTGGGCAGTTGAAGAGCGGGTTTAGGACGTGGGTTGGACGGAGGCGTTCTGTTCCTTCTTGTGTACGTCTATGATATTGGACGCAAGGGAAGCAAAGGAGGTGGTGCGGGAGAGAGATATCTAGGCCGGAAAGGAAGTTGATTTTGTGGATGTGGTTGTCTGGGTGGTCTAGAGCCAGGAGGTATCTTTGGCCCAGTGTTCGGTATAATGTGATGCTGGTGATTGCGAGGCTTGCTGCTTCGGTGGGATTCAGGTACCCTGCTATGTGTGCCCATAGCTTTGGTGAGAGACTTGCGATGTCGCCCTCCCCTCGGGGTCGACGTTCATTGTGCTCGTAGTTGGCAGCGCTGGTTTCATTGACGTCGAGTGTGCCTAGCGTATGGATGATTTCTGTGTAGTCCCTGCGCTCACCAAGTTGTGAGTCCACTTGCTCGTGCAATTCCCTATATTTGAGTCTATGGGCGTGCAATGGAGCTAGCTCTGGCATTGGGGGGGCTTCCTCGACACTGGGGTGCGCAGCCAGCCGTAGGTCTGAGGTCGATCTGCTGCCTTTGCGGAGGGTTTGGCGGGATTTCTTGGGACGCAATGCGTTGGAGATGAACGTTTTGAAGCCATTTTTCTGGCCAGGGCTTTCTGCCGACATAATGGAGTTACCAATGAGTGTAAGTGTTCGAGGCCCTGATGGAGAACATCAGGGTCTTGTGTTTCGGATGCTTGCGGTGATCTTCCGCACTACGCGGTCCGCCCGGTCCGGTCAAACCACATTGGTTGACAATCGAGAGGAACAAGAAATAGCTTAAAAGGATCATCTTACAGCATCAAACTATTGATTATATTGAAAAACACATGCTACAATACAGGGGTAATTAAGCGCAAGATATCATAGCAGCATTTACAAACCAAATAGGGGTTGTTTAAGCGAAGCGCTTCTCGGCTGCCTTCCAGTTGATGACATCCCAGATGGCGGAGAAATATTCGACCTTGCGGTTTTGGTATTGGAGGCTAGAGAAACAATTAGCATGGGCAGTGGATGACCAAACCAAGGATTCTTACTAGTAAGCGTGCTCCCAAGCGTCAATGCCGAGCAGAGGCTCGAACTGGCCGACGACAGGGTCCTGATTCTGGTAAAGGGTTAGTGACTAGAACAATCCACATGAAAAACGGGTCATCGCCAATCACAACTTACGGCGTAAGTGCGGATGCCGATCTGGCCGGTCTGCTTGTCCTTGACGAGCCAAGCCCAGCCACTGCCCTGGATGCTAGCCAAAGCAGCGTTCATCTTGGACTGGAACTCGCCGAAGCCACCGTAGGTGGAGTCAATGGCTTGTGCCAGAGCACCAGAAGGGGGCTCACCACCGCCAGCACTCTTGGGGGCAAGGTTCTCCCAGAAGAGAGTGTGGTTAAGGTGGCCACCACCGTGGAAGTTGACAGCGGGCTTGAGGGCGATCTGAGCAGCGATGTCTCCCTTGGCCTGGGCTTCCTGCAGCTGCTCAAGGGCGTTGTTGTAGCTGGTCACATATGTGTTGTGGTGGTTCTTGTGGTGAAGCTCCATGATCTTGCCGGAAATGGAGGGCTCAAGGGCGCCATAGTCGTCTTGTTATATAGGTTAGTCTAATGTCATTTACTCTCAGTCTGTAGATATGGCCTCTCTAAAAGCTCCAGTGGGTACCAAAGCACCCAACTTACAGGAAAGGTCGGGGAGGGTGGCCTTGCCGCGGGCAAAGGTCAAGCCCGCGGCTCCGGCCTTGGAGGTGGCCGAAGCTCCCGAGCGAAGGGCAACGCGGGCCGAGTTGCTAAGAAGAGCAGCCATTGTGAGTATTTGTGCGCTGAGGATTAATATGCGGTGAAAAAGAATAAAGAGGGCACCAATTAAGAGAGATGAATGAACTCAAAAGGAAAAAAAAGTGGCAGCCGAGCTATGAAGTAACCGACCCTAACGTCATCTTGTTTTCGTCTTTCCGTCTTTCCGGATCTCGGTTATTCCGCTCCGGATCCCCACGTGAATTTCATGAGCTCTCGACTGCGACTACAATCTTCTAAGATACAGTTTGCTTAATTTTGCATTTTGCTGAAAATCAAGGGGACAGTTGATTTGGCCGAAATTTGCCAATGAACTCTTGAAAAGATGGCGTCGCCTTCGTTTTCTGGGCAGAAGCGCAAGGTCGCTGACATGAGCTCCGATGAAGAAAACACGCGCCCGACTACCGGCTTTCGGGGGTTTGCCAGAGCCGCCTCTCGCTCTGTGACACCCCCCACTATGGGTGGACTAGGTAGCGGGGCCTACAATAACCGAAACAACATGGCCAACCCTCGAGGCGGAGGATCATCACGAGGTGGGAAAGGCATAGGAGGTGGCGGTGGAGGGGGAGGAGCCAACAGTTTTGCCGCGCGCATGATGGCAAAGATGGGCTACAAGGAAGGACAAGGTCTCGGAACTACTGGCCAAGGTATTGTCAACCCGATTGAGGTACAAGCACGGCCCCAGGGTGCAGGCTTGGGCGCAGTGAGTGAGAAGTCAAAAAAGACTCGCGAGGAAGAGCGACGAGCAGCTGCACAGAAGGGCGAGATTCTCGAAGACAGCTCCGAGGACGAACGGCAACGGCGGCGAAAGAAGAAGGAAGAGCGCAAGGCACAAGGTCGAAGCGGCACAGGTACACCAATCCAGCGTGCGAAGCCTAAGTTCCGCACAGCGCGTGAAATTGAAGACGATATGGAAGGACTGGAAGTTCCGAATGTCCTCAAATCACTTGTCGACGCTACCGGCAAAGAGCAGCGTGTTCTCACTTCCACTGCTGGCCTGATGTCCACAAAACAATTCGTCAGTCAAGAGGAAGGGGAAGCGTTAAAGATAGCCCAGCGAGCTCGGAATGACCTGGAAGCTTTTGCGGATGAATGGAAGGGGCTGAAAGAGAGAAAACAATACATTGAACTTGAAGAGGCTCAGGTCGTGGACGAACTGGATGCATATCAATCCCGGATCAATCACCTTACAGGCCTTATCGCCGCAGTGGAAGAATTAGACATCTTTGAAAACGACGAGAGCGTCACGGCCAAAGTTGATGAGTTGACGAATAAGCTTGAAGATATGGAAATCAAATATCGGGATGCTGTTGATAAGCACCGACTCCCAGAGACCGCAGTCGCGGCTCTACATCCGTTATTCCGCCAGGCCATGGAGGAATGGGAACCTCTTCAAGATCCCACGTTCCTCGTTTCCAATCTCACCCGTCTTCAGCCTCTTCTGTCTCGCACGAACGAGTTAGATGAGCCCCGAAAACGGGCCTCCACTTCACCTTACGAAACGATGATCTATACCCTATGGCTCCCACGAGTGCGCTCAGCGCTCCTGAATGATTGGGACGTCTACGATCCGTCTAAGGCAACCGCGCTGGTCGTGGCCTGGAAGGCGATTGTACCGCCATTTGTGTATGCAAACGTTCTCGACCAATTGGTCATTCCCAAGGTGGGCCTGGCCCTCAAAAATTGGAAACCTCGAGCTAGCCGACGACATGCCGGCTCCGAGCAGGATGGAAAGTTCCCCTGGTGGCTTTTCACTTGGCTTCAATACTTGGATGAACGACACACAAACCCGAAACAGCCCACTGGTCTCATGTCTGACGCGAAGAGAAAGTTCCGCTCGGTACTCGACACATGGAGTCTACGCAAAGGCTTGGTTGATCGCATTGAGATCTGGCGGGATGCACTAGGATCCGAATTCGATGTATGCCTACGCAACCATTTGCTGCCACGTCTTGCGCGCCATCTTCGCGAAGAGTTCACCGTGAACCCGCAGGACCAAGATCTCACAGCGCTGAAGGATGTCTTATGCTGGAAGGTATTCTTCCAGCCGAATGTCATAGGATTATTGCTAGTCTCTGATTTCTTCCCCAAATGGCACGAGATTCTCTACATCTGGCTCACCAACGATCCCAACTACGAAGAGGTCGGAGCTTGGTTCTCTTGGTGGCGCACTCAGATTCCGGCGGAGGTCAACGAGCTTACCATTATCGACGAGGAATGGAACAAGGGTTTGCAAACTATGGACCTTGCCCTGCAGCTAGGCGACCGTGCCGCTGCCGAACTCCCACGCCCAACTACGGTACGAGCGGCGCTTCCTACCCGGGAAGATAAGGTGGCGGCAGCGGCTGCTCCCAAACCCCTGGTTAAGGCACCAGTCGTGGAAGAAGTTGCGTTCAAGGACATACTGGAGGGTTGGTGCTTGGAGCAGGGACTCATCATGCTACCCTTGCGCGAGGCTCATCCACAAAACGGACAGCCGCTATTCCGTATCACGGCCAGTGCTACAGGCAAGGGTGGAGTCGTGGCCTTTGTCCAAGGAGATGTCGTTTGGGTGCAAAACAAAAAGGCGAAGGAGATCTGGGAGCCAATGGGATTGGAGGATCAGCTGGTAGAGCGTGCGGAGGGCCGATAAGTAATGTTCGCTCATTTTCATGTGCACTAAGTGGACAGTAGAATTGAACAAATGTGTACACCTTGCTCCGTACCTATTCTAGATATCCAATCTTTGCCCTGAGCGAGGATGGCAACAGGCCCATGTGTTCTGGTGCACATTGCAGGGCGCCCTTTGGTATTTAAACCAAGCTACGTACTTGGCCGTCTGTCCGCGGTACAACCAGACGTTCAAGCAGGAGTAAGCTACCTAGATCTCACGATGTACTACATGATGTCCCCTGTGAGGGTAAGACGAAAGGGTATTCCCCAGTCAAAGATGTCGTGGTTTACTGGGTTAAAGCTTACTATCCAGGTGTTCTATGCTAAAGGCATTCTAATCGGTCTCCAAGAATTTAGGGAAATAGGACAGTGTTTGTGGGATCAGGTCGCCTACGCTTTCTTCTCTTGTCTTTGGATTTATCTTGATGCAACCTATGGACCTCATACATAGTGGTAAGCAACTGTTTTACAAAACATCTCGCATTGGTCTCAATTTCCTAGGCAATGTGTGGGCTTGGATTTTTTTTTTTTCTCAAAATCCCCGTTGATCTCTGTACCCCACAAAATCTCTCAACCTGTCTGGCCTTGAGGCTGTTGGCGTGTTTGCAAGCATCATCCAGCTTGCCGGTCGTGATAGTCGTGTTGCAGTTGTGGCATACTCAATAAATCACAAAGTGAAGCAGGGGATCCTATTAAGGACACGGGGACTAAGAACCAAACCGTGAAAAGTCGGTTGGAGAGATTGTTGTAGAATTTGAGCTTTGGGTTTTCAGAATCGGAAGTTTCTCTCTACGCCCATCCGTTCGGATAGCTTCAAGTAACGATGGAACTTCTTCTGCAAGTCGTCTCATATGCTGGCCAGGTGCTACACCAATAAAGCGTGGTAACGCGCGAGGAATGAGAGAAGAGGTTGTTCAAAGAAAAGTCCACATCGATAATGACGGCCAAATGGCCCAAAATCATCGATTCCAACAATGAAGCATGTGACACACTCATGAATGCATCGTGGAGTTCCGTCGACCTTTCCTAATTCATCAAAACGACATCATATCTGCCCAAGTAGAGCAATGTCAACTTCCTTCGGGGGATCTTATTTGTTAATACTTACATGCAGTCTGTGCTACGACGTGGCCTCATGCTATCACTGGAGTGTAACCAGCCTCCATGTCGGTGGGCAGTGGGGAGCTTTACTTCCAATAGGAATTGACATCCTACATAGGGTCTCATCAGTCTGCTCAGAGGGATTGACGAAACACGCCTTCCAATATCTCCAAAGTACTTGCATATTCAAGAATGGTTTTAAGGCGATCCATGAGACGGAAGATGATCGAATTGGATCCAAGTATAGAAGCCTTGGGGCACCGAGCATGCAAGCATCAAACCATCTGTTTTCCACACTAAATTTCAATTTGTCAACTCGGAGAAGGTCTCGAATATCGGACCTAACCATCAAAATCGGCGAGTGGGCACGTCATGTACCTCCACGGCCTGATAGATTGAATTGAATTCTCATCCTGTTCCATCCGAATAACCGCAGAAGAACAGCTCTAGGCTGGGCCCCATCGAGGTTTCTAGTGAGCGTTGTCAAATACCAACAAGGTCTCTGGGCCTTGAATGAGAACTAGATATTAACCGAGGAGTGTCAAGTGGTGGTTGACAGGCAAAAATCCACCTTCTTCACTATACTTCCCAAAGGCGTATCTAATGCCGATCGGATTTAAAGTCTCGGGATATTCGTTCTTGTCGGCAAATCGGGGATAATCCACTGCATGAATTTCCCGAACTCCGAAAGCCCGAGGTGTGTAAGATGATCTGTCCAATTTCGCATGTCGGAGTTAACATTCAGGAGAGCGATCCGGAACGGTATAGCCAATCAGAACCCTCTGAGCAGCCTAGTGGATCTCTAGATCCCCAACATTGGAACGGACCCACGGGAATGCGGAGCATCACCCGCAGCCAATCGCATCAGCTGCAAAGGTCATCACATGTTTTTACCAATCACATCGGTTGGATTTGAAATCACTCGTTGCCATGTTCTCATCAAAGCTCATCAAAGTGGACAAGTCTCATTCCTTGCAGCTTCTAGACCTTCATCTGACCGTTAGAGCTGACATTTAAGAGCTCTGTGATTGGTCTGGGGCCCCTCCTTGGCGAACAAACCTCCATCCTTTGTTTAGTTTGCATGTGCGTTTTTATTGGGGGGGGGGATTTTTTTTTCGAAGGCGCCTGGATTACGGAGACTGACGAGAGACGGTGGGACTGGATGTTAAAAGGGGTGAGACGCGGCCGATCATTGTAGAAGAATTAAATTTTCTTCTCTTCATTCTTCGTTTCATAGTCTTTGTTGATATTTGTCCAAGACTTGGACCTCCATTCTGAATTCGTCTACTGAAACCCAAAAAAAGTGCAATTCCAGTCTTGCCTTGATCAACTCATCTTCTCCCTCCAGCTTGTACTTGCGTGCTGAACTTCTGCTATACATCGTGCCCTGGAAAAATCCAAAAGCAAACTTTGGTAGCAGTGTCGGATTAGCATTATGGCATTCCTCTTCATCAAACAGAAGCTTTTCCCCACAAGGGAATCCAACGAAATGCACTCGGGTGAGTAGAGAAAAGAAAATCCATGAAAACTGGAGATAATTTACTTACAAGTCAACTCCAGGCAAGCGCCTCCTTACCCACAGTGATGATAATGATACCATCCGTGGAGACTCGGATCAAGACCTTGAGTCCCAAAGCCGCCGTTCCTACGACACTTTCGGACGGTGCAACAGCCCGGATGACTCAGCAACAACAATTACCAGCAACAGCAACAGCAACAGCACGCGCGCACGCATTAACCCACGCATCGTCTCAGATGCCATCCTCGGCCTCTCAGACGGGCTGACAGTGCCATTCGCCCTGAGCGCGGGTCTATCCGCACTCGGAAACACCAAAGTGGTTGTGCTGGGTGGACTCGCCGAGCTGGCCGCGGGAGCCATCTCCATGGGACTTGGCGGATACGTCGGTGCCAAGAGCGAAGCGTAAGTTGATCCACATACGGCCATAAAACCAGCACAAGTACTAACAAACACCAGTGAATCATATCAAACAACAGTCCGTGAAACACAGCAACTCATCCGAACGGACTCGCAAGAGACTCGCGCCATGGTGCGCGAGACCTTTTCCCCGTACGGGCTCTCGGACTCGGCGGTTGCAGATATCACGCGCGACTTGCATGCGTCTGAAGATCGTCTCCTTGAGTTCCTGCTTGCTTTCCACCATCGAGAGATGGCCCCTGACGGTAACCAGGCGTGGACTTCGGCCATCACGCTGGCGCTGGGCTATTTCATCGGAGGGTTTATTCCACTTATCCCGTACTTCATTGTCGAGCACGTTAATGTTGCGCTTTACTGGAGTATTTGTGTGATGGCAATTACCTTGCTTGTGTTTGGGTATGTGAAGACCTGTGTGGTGCGCGGCTGGTCTGGTCGGGCCAATGTGACGGCTGCGATCTGGGGCGGAGTGCAGATGTGTTGTGTGGGAGGTGTCGCTGCTGGTGCGGCGATTGGATTGGTGCAGTTCATTGATATGGGCAGCACCAGTACTTGACAGCCTGGTGGTGGTGGTGATGATGATGATGATGGGACTGATGATGTTCACGTTGCATTGAGCGTTCATGCATTGCAGCAGCCAGAGTTTTCGCGTTCTCTACTCTCACTGTTTTTCATTCTGATCTGACTCGGCTTTGGGTCTGTCAATGGGCGTTTCGGGGAAAAAAAGCTGCCAAACAGCCTTTATTATACACATTTTACGAAGCATAATTCATTTCACGTTGACGATATCACATTACATGATCCTCACTCTCAGATCCAAAGGCATGTGTACTGGTAACCTTAGAAAGGTGGGTATATATATATAAAAATCATGAATCCCCGAAAGTCCAACCTGATGAATCACCCACTCAACGCAATCCCAACCAACTTCTTCGCCTGATCCGACAACTGAATCTTCAAAGCCTCCTCCCTCCCCCGCTCCGACATCTTCCTCCAAGTCTTCCTCAAAATGTCAACTATTTTCTCCTCGTCCGCAAGCTCCGCCTCAAACCTATCAAACTGATCATCCAAAAAGACAAGACAAGCAACATCCTCCAGAGTCTGGGTATCAGCATCTCCCTGCTTAAGATCCGCCTTACGCACCAGCGCACCAACCCTCGCCGCCTCCTCGGCTGAATATCCGCTCTCAACACAGATCTGCTCGGCCAGCGCAGCCTGTCGTCTCTGCAGTCCCGCCCGCCACGAGTGATACCCGATCTTCGTGGCGGGGTAGCTGTCCCGCGGCACTTCCCAGCGGCGCAGGTGTTGGGCGCGGATTGCGAGGCGCAGAAGCTCTGATGCGGATGGGTTCAAGGTTGAGAGGTAGCTAGTCATCTTTTGTGCGTAGTGCAGTTCGTATGGGACTGGACCGGTGGCGGTTTGGGCTTCGCGGGGGTCGTCGGCGTGCGCTGCGTCGATGCGCTCGAGGGCTGTTTCAAATTTGGACATTTTTTTTTACCAAGTCGGATAAGATGAATAAGGTGAGTGGTAGGTCCGCTTCAATTTTGATTTGGTGAGAGTAGGAATCAATCGGACTTGGTCGCACTTGAGAGCTATCTTGAGTCGATCGACATGCGGATTTGGGATAAGAAAGGGCGCTAGTCCAGGGATGGGGCAGCGTGGCTGATGATTGGACGTTTCTACTTGATGTGTATACAATCCACAGACAACTACATACACATAGGCAAAGGCTTCATTTTAGCAAGGACCCTAAGCTAGTCATCATGACTGTCATGTCGCTTCTAGTAGGAGCATCAAATTTCAATCGACCCCACAAGACCATGGTAGAGCTACTGTAGATATCTCTAGGATTTGCTCTTCCACGTGAACTTTGAACAGCAAAGACATCTAGACAACATCAGTCTTCAGTTTGTGGGGATGAGCCTGCGAGGAAACAGTTTTGGGACCGAATACTGTTGTAATTATAACACGCAATAGCAACCAAAAAAAAAAAAAATAACACAACCACAATCACGATCAGGTGCTAGTCTTCTGGAACACGAGCAGCTCTTGCGACACATCAGCAGGCGTCTCCACCTGATAAGTCTTCTCCTTTTCAAAGATTCGTGCCACTTCTTCCAGAGATAGACCCTTCGTCTCCGGGAAGAGGAAGTAGATCGTCACCCCGAAAATCACAAGACAAGCCAGATACACCGTAAAGTACCTCCAGTGAATTGCCGCCAATGCTATCGGGTTTATAAACTGATTGAAGAAGCAAGCCATTGAGTCGGTGGTCAGTGTAATGGCAAGACCCTTGGCGCGAAGTTGGAAGGGCAGGATTTCAGCTGGGTATGCAATGAATAAGGGCATGTATGCCATATCGTAAGCGCTACAAAAGAGAAAAAGCATGGGAACCACCGCAATGCCAGCCTCCAGCACCTGAAGCTCTTGGAATAGACCCGACATGGTCGTCGCGGCGGATAGATAGATGAACATCAACAGTGATGCGATTAGCCAGAGTTTTCGTCGTCCATATCGGTCTGCAGCCATTGCTCCGCCGACCGCAAATGCCAGGTTCCACACCTGTAAGCTTATATTGATGGCGGCCTGGTGAGATGCATGATAAATACCGACGGATTCTAGAATTGGTGCTAGATAATATGATACCACACCTGAGGGGGGAGAACCTTGGTTAGAAATCCGGCTGGGAAGAAAAAGAGGGCTTGGTGTTGTTCATACCACTTCCAGACCATTCTTGCATGAATCCCAACATCACACAAATCGATAGACGATGCAAGTTGCTCCGGGTTGCGAGGAAAGTGCTCCAGCGTCGGCAGCTCTTATCGGACTCCGCGTTGATGCTCTTGCAAATCTGATAGAATTCATCCTGAACAAGTTCGTCGTTTTCATCCCCATTGGCATGGTATCTTGCTAAGATAGCCATGCCTTCCTCTTTCCTACCCCGAGAGACCAACCATCTAGGGCTCTCGGGAACAAAGCAAAGCCCTATCAATTGAAGGACCGGATAAAACACCTGCGTTAGGCAAGGGAGCTTCCATGACCAGCTCCCTACAATTGTGAGTCCAGCAAACCCAATGGCAGCCGATGTAATTGATCCGATGAACCACAGTGCATTGTATAGACCAGTGAAGGCCTGTCGCTGGCGTGGATGTGTCGATTCCGTGATAAGCAACGGCGCGGCAGTTTGGGAGACTCCAACTCCCATTCCAGCCAGAACACGGGCACTGAAGAAAACCCAATTGTTGTTTGTCGCGACTTGAATAATTGAGGCGATGATGACCAGCGAGGAGCCGATGAGAACGCAGATCCTCCGCCCCAGATTGTCGGCAATGTAAGATCCGGGGATAAATGAGCAAAAGGACCCCAGCGAGACAGCTGCGATGATCAGTCCCCTCGCATTTGTGTCAAGACCTTCCAAGAAGTTTGTAACTGCAAATTTTTATTTGGTTGGTTAGCGTAGTGTTCCCAGCTATAGCATGGAGATATAGAGATCCTTACATTCAGGAAGCACCAGGAGACCATTGATCATACTAGCACAATATCCAGCGGTAGCCGATGCAGATAACATAAAGCCGATCCCCAGATTTAGTTTCCGCAGCCCTGGATCCTTCATCCAGCTGCTGTTGGTGTTGTTCTGCAAGACCTTGGACGCCATGTTTGGCGAGTTGCTGCAAAGACCGTCTCGTGGATGATCGTTCCGAAACCTTGAGCTCCGAGCTGTCAAGCTCTTTTATTTAAACAGTTGCGATCAATTGGTAAGTAAAACCTCCGAATGACCATCCGCCCCAACATTCCTCATCATTATCCAGGACCCGAGCTCTCCGTTCGAGGTTACAGCTGTAGCTAAGGAGTAGGAATGAAGGGAGAGAAGTCAAATGATCCGATCACCGGACACTTTTCCTCAGTTCGTTCAGGCCCAAGAGCTCGGATGTGACACGCTTGTCAACATGCCTGTTTTGAGATCGCGATTGGAAGGGGAGCTTCATGGGGTAGCTCGTATGGACCAGGAATGCTCGTAGCTCTCATAGCTCCCTCCCCTCACCTTTTGGCCACGAGGATCGTTTCCTCAGTTGCCCGACTTTAACTTTGGATTAGGAGCTATAGCCTCCGTATGGATTCCCTTGATGCTTGGATTCGTGATAGATCGAATCACCCTCATGCAGGAATTTGTCTCTGGGGAAACGCTGTAAGGAAAAGCTCATCCGTAGACCTTGTATGGGACTAACGGGATTTCATTTCCTTTTCTTTCTGAGGGTTGTGAGCCATCTCGGTGTAGCTCCTCTGCCCTTACTTCGTCACTTGATATTTGGAAAGTCTGATCAAGGAGCGAGTCTATGAATCAGAAAGGCACCACGGCGTGGAATGATGTTATTGAGTTCTGACATGGACAGCCGTATGGCACCAATCGGAGAACTTACCAGGGTATCCCGGTGGCTTATGGCCTCCCCCTCAGGGTTGCTATTGAAGCGCTCCAGATATCACAGACAGGATTGACGGTCACGGAAATAGGTTTCCTCTCGTTGAAAGTTCGGAAAATGTTAAGCGTTCTTCGGAACCAATTTCGAGCTGGAATCCAGTATCAATTCCCACACTTATCTTCCTTTACTTGGAAACCATTCGGAGTACGTATCGTTTTCTGGGTCGTTGAATTGTATCTATATGCCTCTATGTCTATATATTTGGAGACAAGTGTCTGTGAGGGAGGTTCAACCCTACAAAGGTCAGAATTTAGTAGTTTACCGTCCACGCAAAGAGTCATAGGTACTGCAGGGCTTACATGGAGTGGTCATTCGTTCTTTTCCTGTTTCTAGAACACATCCAAAACGACGTTTGGTAAAACCAGGCGTTGCACTCTTGGTTAATTTACATCGAATGATATCTTAGAGTAGAGGGCTGAGAAACACATTTGATTCTGTTGGTGTTGTATGGAGCTGAGTCACACTAGCGCACAAGACACCAATCCAAAATGTTGAAACACAGGACGTGAGACGTGATGTATCAGAGACCGACATTCTATAATTATCGCAGATCATAGGCGGGCGACTTGGGCAGAGTTTGGAAGCAAGTGTGTGCCAACCTTAAGCTCCAACGGTTTCGCCAATAGGGCTGGGGCCCTTTTAATGAGTTCCTGAAAGTAAGGTGCGGCACGATGTTTGTCCAATGCGGCCTGGTTTGCGTATCTGGAAAGAAAGCAGTTAGAAAGTGACCTGGCATAGATATGGTGAAGCTGTAGGAAGAGAAAACAAAGGACGGGGCGTGGAGGTACCTCTCAACTACTATGACTTCATTTGTTTGCGCAATAGAGTAGGCATAGTACACTAGGGTCTCGGGCTCATGCTCGTGCACATTGCGGGTAATATTGGCTAGTTCAGCCACGAGCTATAGGTAGGACACGACACCAAGTTCGTCAGTCCAAAAAGATCAAGTTACAGGGGAAGAAGAAAGCCACTCCTACTGAGAACAGCAAAGACTATGACCAGAAAGATCATAGGCCTAGTTAACCGGGACCTGTTAATGATTTGACTTACTTCGTCAAGCGCCTCTGGCTTAGCTGTGAGAATGGCAATCTGGTTGATAACGGACATTTTGAGTGTGGGGACTTGAGCGTACAGAGTCAATTAGAAAGAAAACACATATAAGAAGTCAAGGTGTTGACACACTTTATAGACCCTATACGCTGATAAGCTACGGTCACATTAGTAATCCCATTTCCGCAAAGCGCCGGGAACCCCAGAGAGGGGGATGGTGTTCGGCATTGCCGAAACCTTAGCGCTTAAGTTAATTTGGTATCTGGAAGACAGATTTACTTCGCTGGGGTCAGTCTGATTATACAGCCTTGTTTGCAATTCTGTCGTATCACACAAATATACAGCACGACAATTGATGGGATCCGTCAGGGATGTCGAACTCTTGGACTAAAACCAACCGGAGAGTTTCAACGGATATGTTGACTAAACAGAAAAGGTCCGTTTGTTGGGATTCGCCATTCAACAGTCATCTGATTTTCTAAAGGAAATGGGTAATTTGGATATATTCCAGAGGTCAACTGAGCCTGCTAACCATCTAGGCCAGAAGATCAGAACAAGAATCAGAACATCCGAGTCTCGCATGTTTTTTGGTGATCCCAAAGGCTTTCTGTGCAGTGTCAATTTGGGTGGGTCCTGGAAGCACACTATTTCCCCTGACATTGAAGGTACGATCACGCGGAGTAGGTTATGTTGAAGAGTAGTTGATGCATTGAGGCACTGATTACATGCACTTTGCAGACCTCTCTTTGTCCCTTAGTTATCTGAAGAATTTGTCAAGATGGAACTTACCAAGAGTTGAAAAATAAGAAGAAAGCATCCGTAACCTGAAGCCATGCTATGAGTCCTCCATTTGGCGGAGGGGGGTATCGCTGGCTGAGTGGCTGTCTGTTTTTCTGACTCGGTTTCATCAGACTCAGCGGCAGGTAGTGACACAGGAGAGTCTCAGAGAGCGAGATGCTGGTCCGTTTCCGAAGACATGATGTGTTGGAAGTATAAAGGGATTCCGATGGTTACTTCGTAGTCTCAAAGGACCCTGGGACTTCGGCAAGGTTGTTCTGGGAATGCAATTCGAGCGAATCAACTTGCAAGTGCTGATGCGATGTTGTTAATAGTACCTAGTAGCCCCCAAAATAGCTCAAGACTGGAGGCTACATGCTGCAGAGCTCGGCCTTCGGCCTTTTCTCACCTGGAGAACATTTGAGATACAGTAAAAGGAATGGCTTCACTCAGTTTCGCGATGGGTTACGTTTGACCGACAAATTTGGACCCCAAAAAGAGACTAAGCTGTAGGTCTGCCTGAAAAACGAAGGATCAGATCTTGAATCTGACATCGAGGGGTTCAAAGGATTCCAGCTGTATCACACGAAGCAAGTTTCGCATTGCATTATTTTCCATTGCGGGTCAAGTAAGCTGCAAGGTCTCCTACGTACCTCCTCCCACCCCGATTGCAAAGATCGCTGGACTATCACAAAGGAGACTCTTCCGGGTGGCAAACCCCGATATTTTGGTAAATAAATGTGCCCTGAAAATGATAAACGGGGAATGAAGTACGACTCTAGAGATACATCCTGTAAATCTACTCAAGTGACTACTACCTACCAGGGACAGAGAAGGTCCAGAGGCTTGTATGACAGCCTCAACTTATCTTATACAGTTGCAGAAGTTGCTGCCCAGCAGTGTGAGAAGGATGGAGCTTTGTATTATCTGTCATATAAAGTAACTCACCTACTTGAAGAGACACAATAGTAGATGCTATCATGAAGGATGAAGTGATGTGATAAAATTAGAGAAGTACTCTTACTCGGCCATCAATCTTATTAACTACACTCGATTTACTACACTCGACACAAGGGTCTGAACATCAGCGTACGAGATATCGCTCTTCCGGGGGTAATGGCCAAATCTCTTCAGCAAAAAAAAACAGATCGAAGGTCGACTGAGACTGTCATTCTTTCGTCGTCACCAGAGTTTGATCTCTTCTGAAATTGAAGAGCAGCAGCACATATAGAAAAACACTTTACCCACCGGATATACCGATTTTCTTGCTTAGGGCAGACCCGTTCTAGTCTTTAATAATAGCCCGCTTTCTCGGAAGCAATTCTCAGTCTTACAAAGAGGTTGGCAGAGATAACCGAATTCCTACCCACTACCTTTTACCAAATTCCAAGGCAAATAGACATAGGACTAGTTTAAATAATCCCAGTCCCGTCTTAGAATTCTACATCATCATCGATGAAGCCGAGACAAGCCAACTTCTTAACGTAATAATTCGTCCGCTACGTAGTTCTACGCTACCCCCAGTAGCGAGCACCAAGTCCTTACAAAGATGTACGACCATCTCTACAACGACACTCTACTCCGTGTCTTTGACGCCTATTTCTAAGCCTACCCATGGAGCGAGGACGTCGAAAATTCTACCTGCTTTAAGGTATTTACTTTCTATATCTAGCAAGTCAACCAAACCCACACCCTCGACTTCCAGAACCAACTGAATCAAAATCCCATCATCTTTGAAAACCCTAGCGCAATAGAGCCCTACATCAATGCCTCACTTGCGCATACAATCCACCTCGACTTCGAAACGTTCAGTCGCTCTAGCAGCGTGACAGACTTAATTCTATTCCAACTTGTCCTCGGGATCTAGTTCGCTATCGTAGCGGCTAGACAAGCATCGCTTTCGATTACCTCTACAGAGGTTGCAACCTGGACCTACTCAACCCGCAAGGCACATACGGCACCTAGTTATCTTCTGCCCATTTTCCATTTTCTTTTGATCGTGGCTTCTGTCTTTCGCCTTTTCTTCTCTGGTTACCTTGACTTTACGTTAACTCTCTGCTAGCTCAAGATAGTAATGTTGCCGTTTGTTTTCTTGATGTGATGAACCCCGTGTCGTTGAAACTTGGGATAGAATTTTACAGCAAGAACTAGCTTGAGGATTTTCGCAACGAAGCCTACTGCACTACTTAGGGGCTAGCTGATCTAGGTAAGCCGGAACGATTCAAGGGACATCATTTTGTAGGGTTCTTGGGTGCTTTCATGAGGTTGTTTGGACGGCCTTGGAATATCCCAGCGAGAGGAAACTAGCTATTGAGCTAGCATATCAATCACAAGCCAACTGCATATTCCGACTACATCTTCTACCTTACAAGGAATCCTCTTGTCCTCTATTGAATCGATTGACTAATTCTTCCCTGTCTCGTCATCGCGGAATAAGATCTCCACGCTGCCAAGATCAAGGCCTCAAAAAACTCACGGATGTTTTAAAAAGGAACAAAAGTGTCACACTCCCTAGAATCGGTGAAGATGGACGCAGTGGACCATCGAGGTTGGCCGGTAGAAGAATCATGGAAACAAGCTGCAAGCATAAGATAACCGTTGAGAAAATCAGAAAAACCAACCATTACAACAGTGCAGATCTCGAATAGCTGTGCACGAGATTTTAAAAAAAAGATAGAAACGAAAAAAAAAAACAAGGGGGAGAAAACAAAGCTTACGAATAAAAGCAATTGATCATATCCACTTTGGATAACTTTGTTTCCCGCCCAAAACGCCGTCCGATTGATGAAGCCGGGTATATCCAGCACCGTGATGCAACATGTACTGAGAATGAAAAAAAAAGGATCGAGGGGTGGGACAAAATAGACATCGAGTACCCGTCACGGCCTTGCACAGTGGCAAGACTCGGCTCGAGCCATCGGCCCATCACCCCCAAGTTAATATGGGCAAAATTGGTGTTTGGTGTTTCATCGAAATCTTTTTTTTTAAAACAGAAACAGCTTTTGGTTGATACGAAGTGATCATAGAACCCATTTCGTCATCTGGCCCCGATGCCGAACATGCCGACCCCGTAGCTAGCGCCTCTTTCAGACATAGGGGTTGACACCTTTGCGACGTGGTCCTGATTAGATTAATTATTATCAATAGACTGGGTTACTGTTCATGGGGTTGCAATACCTTCTTGCGTTTCTTCTTCCCAGTTCCCTCGCCATTCGAGTAAAATCCGGGGTCATCATCATCATCCACAAACCCTTCGCCATAGCCGGCAAAGCTATTATCATCGTAATGTCTCTTGCGACCTCTGCTAGGCCGAGGCCGCTCTGCTTCCTGTGGTCGTGGAGATGCGGCATAGAATTGAGTAGAGGGACGGCCAGCTGTTGGAGCCGGGGCAATCTTCTTGCCTGTCTCGCCTGCCGCTGGATTCTTGGCCTGCTTTTCGTGGCCCAAGATATCTTCCCAGAAATCGTTGTTAGGAATCAGTCCTGGTTCCATTTGCATAGCCCGCGATTGAAGACTTTGTAGAGCCGAATCCATGTCTGAAACTTTGATGGTCTTGCCGTGCACCTTCTGGTTCTGCCATTCCTCGTCGGGCCATAAAGTCATGTATCTCAGACTGCCAGGAGCGCCAATTTCCTGTTTGAGGGGTTTGTTCCGTCCTGCTAGTCCTAGCCCTTTCAGCTTTCCTTCATACGACTTCCTGAGGCGGTTGATCTTCTCTCCCGTCACGGGATCCGTGCGTGCTACCGAGTGCGCGATTGAGCCTAACCCATAGAGAGAAACGAGATCCAATGAAGGGTCTGGACCAGTAACGATCGGAGCTATCAAGGAGTAAAAGCAGTGTTAACAACTTCAGTTCCTAGAATGAGCAAGATCAGTGCATCCACGCAGCTGCATGCAGCAGATGCCATGATGCATTTTGGGGAATCTTACAGCTCTTGCAAAGATGAAAAGCGGAGGTGAGCTCTTTCTGAAGAGAGTCCAGATCGAGACTGAGGGTGGTATCTGCCCGGCGAGTCGGCTCTGTGTCTACCTCCATAGCATCGGGGTCTGTCGAATGCTGACCCTGCCCGGTGGCAAAATCAGTGGTACTGTCTGTTTGCAAAGGCTGCCGATCATGGCTGGAGGGTCTATGTTGGGTTGGTTGCCGAGAGGGACGTGCCCCCGAGTTTTCTGCCGAGTCCTGTATCCTCATGCTGAAAGATATTCTCCCCTGATCCACATCCTCCGAAGTCGGATTCGCAAGGTTACCACTGAAACTGCTGGCAGGAGTGGGGAATTGGTTGGTTGCGCTCATTGTGGGTTGCTGGGAGACTTGGGTAGACATCGGCGCAAAGGTTGGGGGAGAGGAGATGTTCGGATGTTGGACCGTCGCCTGATTCGGTGATGTATGCGAGGATATGAAGTTGGCGGCATGACTTTGTTCGCTCACCGACATCAACGGAGGGGATGTCGGGGTCTGGGGGATGTGTTCCGAACAAATGGGCAACCGATGGTTCTCTTTCAGAGACGCGGAGGCGGGTGAGGAAGGTGAAGGTGGTCTTGCTTGAAAGGATAGAGGGTGAGTGCGATCAGACATGAGAGCCCGAGGAAAAGTTCAGCATGCAGAGACGGTAATAACCAGAGCGGCTCTGGATCCGAATCGCAAAGTTTGATAACAGTGCCTGGAGAGGGGGGTCCCGGTCACAATCGACGGTCGCTCAAGCAGGCGAGCAAGTCTTTCAACGGGCGAACTAGATCATCTGCATTCCAAGGGACTGGACTGAATCCCTTTGAGTAGTACAGATTGGGTGGCTGATGATCGGCTGTGGTGAAGGAGTGATGATGGAGAGACAATCCCGTGGTCAAAGCCGGCGAGGATGACGGCGAATTGATCCATTCACGTGACTGGTCTTGGCCCGATGTACTTTATTTGGGCACCTGTGTAGATTTTTTTGACTTATGTACCAAGTATACATTTACATATTCATCTATTATTCATTGCAAATCTCTTACTCGTTTCTATCTTCCCCATGTGCCACAGTGGGAGTGCATCAATTGATGAATGCAAATAATCATTCCGAGGTCTCCTTAGCGAGTGGCGAGAACATTGAGTCGTCCAAAGACAAACTTTACTCAAAGGCACGTATTTGCCGGGACTAATCCCCGACAGTCGATGGAATATTCACTACATAAAGGTGTGCGGAACATGCAAATCCAATTATACAGCACTCTTTAGCCGTTGGTAGCGGATCCCCGATCTTGCCTGAGCCCATCTGCTATCCCAGTCCGTCAAAGTCATGAAAGAAAAAAAATCTTATGGAACTTGAAACAATTGGTTAATTGTTTCTCTTTCGGCCTCTCTTGCTATTGAAAGACTGTTCGCCGAGAAAAGCCGGGTCAGGTGGTCTCAGGCCTTTCTCGGCATGGGCGACCTCCAGCCCGGTTGGTAACATGGCCATTGATGAAGACACATTTCGTCAATGGTCAGAAGATGACCCAGTTCAAAACAAAATAGCGGTGACACATCGGAAATCAAAGCACAGCTCTCCACTAAGTGCCAGAGCTCTTCAACACAAAATCATCCCCGCAGACGGAGTGAGAATGATTGCATCAGAACCTTAGGACTGATAGTAAGCGTTATACTCATTAACCAGTTGCGCAGAAACATCGGGTATGTTGTGTTCGAGGGAAGCCAGAAGCTCGATTTGCTCTTGTTGGCTGAGGGTGCGCTCACGCCACGAAGGGACTGGGAATGGCTCATTAAAGTACTGAGAGTACTGGTCTCCAATGGAAGCGGACCAGTTCCCGGGATCGACGGTTGCATCGGTGTATGCCAAATGGCCCGCGGTTGTTGAGGCAAGTGAGAAGTTGGGGTCCCAGCCTTGCAGGCCAGGAACAACCGAAGGTATCGTGTTGTAAGGCGTGCTCGGGTCGATGGATACATCAGGGTAAAGTGTCGGCCCAACGTAGGCTCTTGACGTATAGTGTGGTGCCACACTCTGGGCTGTGAGTGGTGGGTGCATGTCGAATGCGGAGGAAACCGATGGCATTTGTTGTTCTTTGGAGGATGGGGGGGCCACTGCAGGTGGGGTTGATTCTTGAGTGAATGTAGGATCAGCCGATTGTCCCCTGGAATGAGTACCGTTTGAGGCGGTGTCACCGGTTGATAGCTTGCTCCCACGGTGATTATTGGAATAATGTGAAGCAGTTGTACTGCTGGACGGGCTGGACATTGCTGGAGGGGTCAAACCCTGCGAGGAGGTTGGCGTAGGATGGTTAGAAGGTGAGTGTACAACAAACGATTCTTCCGTCCTGTATGCTTTCAAGCATGCGGCAACAAGGCGTTTGTAAAGGAGGAAGGCAGATTGAACACCTGGCCAACGTTCGGCGGAGAATACGATCACTTCAAGGGCCATATCCAGGTGCCCTTGGACTTCCTCAATGGTGTGCTCTTTTCGAATTTCGGGATATGAAAGGGTCCAGAGCACAGTATTTAAAGCCATGAAGAGAGCTTGTACAAACACCCAGGTCAGGTCGACGGATCCAGTGATCATCTGTTCCTTATGCATGGCAATGTTGGAAATGGCTGCATCATAGCAAGTTTTGGCAGCGTAGACTGTTGGCTCGGGGATCTGCGGCGATGGACGATACATGAGAACAATGATGGTGTTCCGTCTCCCTTGAAACCTGTAGAAGCCACTGTCAGCAAATTTGTCTTTCAGCAAGTAAGATAATCAACGAACCATTTCACATCGAGCCCACTGCCGTCGTCGTTCTTGGGAGTCGTGGCCATCCAATGGTCTATTTTGGCCAGCATTTGAGAAAACCATGGATCCTGGTCATCGACTGGGCTCTCTCGTCTGTTCGAGTAGAGCATTCTCCTAGGCTCCAGTTGGAGTAGTCGCATTTTGAAAAAGTGAACGGCAATGCATTTGGCTAGCACGGGTTTCGCTCCAGGGGTGATCCCCTCCGCGGTGATGTACCGGTCATCCACTAGCTCAAAGAATTTCACATTGATATGGTCGTGGCTGACGCAATAGCTGCTACATCGACCCAAGCTATGAGAAAGACCGAACTCCATTGATGAGACGATCCAAAACAACCTTCGGCGCATGTCGATCTCCAATGGATTCAATGGTATCCCACACGGTGATTTGGTAATGGTGGCTTCTTCGGTCAACCCCAGGTCCTGACAAAGTTTGGCAGCCGTCCCCACGACCCAATACGCGGCTGTGCGAGTGGGCGTTACTATTGAATAGGAGGCAATGAGCACAAGGCATTGCAGAGCCCCCAGATCCATTCGTTTGAGCGTGGGTTCTAGGTAGGGCAAGGCCGCAAGATAATAACTATCAGCGAGGCCAGCATATTCTGTGCTCATTTTCTGCATGCTAATGGCGATGACCATCCGCAGTTGGAAGTTTTTGCAGGGATCTGCAGAGCCATTGAAAACCTCTTCTACTTCTTGTCGAAATGTGGGCTCGTGCAGGAGGGGTAGTAATGCTTGTGCTATACAACGAATCAGCCACATGAGTTACAGGAATAAAAGAGACCGAGCGAAATGCGTGTAATACCTTTGGCCACAAAAAGATCAATCAATTTATAGGTCAGAGCCTTCGGGGGTAAGTTGGGTTGTGGGATCGAGCTTATCATAGGATAGACTTTTGATGTTGGTTTCGAGTCTTCTTCAGCAAACGCGTCTTTGATCTCCTGTGCGGTGAATTCAGGAACAACATCCTTGATGCTTTTGGAGTCGGTGTTCTGCTTCGCCATCTCCATGACCAACCGAGTTATAGCGATGCCACTTGAGGCCCCAAGATATCGCGGCTCGTCGTTCTCCTTGAACCGAATGCGTCCGGCCCCTCGCACCATCAACTCGGCATCGGCCGCATGTTGTATCTCATTCTCAGCTTTGGCAAGCTCTCTTTCTAATGCCCGGGCTTTCTCTCTGAGCGATACAATATAGGTCCGAGGTATAGTTGAATCTCGGGCCGAGTCATAATACACGCACTTGGCATTGCTTCGTTCGCAGGGCGCACATCGTGGAATCCCGGGATCGCATCTGGACTTTCGCTGCACGGAAGGTGGATCAGCTCCGGAACAGCACCACGAAAAAGAAAGTCACTAAGACAGGAAATCCCGAGATGGCAGGGACGGGGAAGTGGAGAGAAGAGGGAATCAATGTCGCATACATACCTGTCTACACCTTGTGCAGGCGGTTAATGTGTGAGCGATGCGACCGTCTGGTGGCTCTAGGGAGTGTAATTCTGGTGACTTCAACCCTGTGGAGGAATAGTCGGGACTTGAGGTCATGGTGGGCCAAATAGGGTATCAGAGAAAAGGAAGGCCGAGAAAGGACCGATCACATCATTTGCGATTTATACCCAAGGTACCTTTCGAATATCAATGTTGTAACCAGTCGACATGATGAGGCTCCCGAAGAGGGGAAGGGAGGGGGAGGGGAGGCTTTGACAAAGGAATGTTTCGAGTTCGAAGAGATGAGAAGAAGAAGTCTGGAAAGGGAATGGGGCCACAGTGATTTTCAAGAGGGGCTCGGTCCGGATCTGGAGAAAAAGGTTGGGCAAGGTAAGGTGGATCGATGTGGAGGCACCGGGCAGCTGAACTAGAGAGACTTGGTCCAAGTTCACCAATTCTTGTTCGGTCCAAACTTTCGAGCTATTGAACAGCTAATTCTTTATAGGCATTTGATCTTGATTTCTAGTATTTTTGATCGATGTAATAGCAGGTGAAAGGCTTCATAGGTCGATTGATAGAAGAGCGTCTGAACAATTTAGGGAGATTCTCGTCGTCCGTGCGGTTCCACCGATCTTCCCCCCCCCCCCCTCCTAGTCTTATCCTATAAGAATCGGTTTCGTGGAAAAGATTTGTTTTCAGTGGAGTCATTCTCGGGTTTGAACGGCTTCGGCCAAGGCTTACTTCTTTTACATTAGTCGCGAATCCTTTCCCCAAACTCATGCAGGTTCATCCCTTTTGACTTTGTGCTAAACACATTCTGGATTGGTCCCGTCACGTGAGCATTTGAGCCCAGTTGGAGTTTCTGGAGATGCAAGGGAGGGGAGAGAGTGGGGGTCCCAAATCCTCGAATTTGCCAACTCCATAAATGACCAGTATAATGAGCAGAGATGTCCGTCACAGCCTTCTTGGATAATCCCTTGCTCAAGGTAAGTCGTCCAGTCGCTGCCTGCTCGAGATGTCGGACCGCGAAGATCAAATGCGACGGCAAGCTCCCCGCATGTTCGGCTTGCGAAAGAGTTGGCAAGGCGACCACTTGCTCTGGGGCAAGCGATGAGTTCGCCAAGGGAAAAGAAAGGAGTTATGTTGCGTCGCTGGAAGGGTATTGTGAGAAGCTGGAGAAAAAGATCAGCCAGATACGTGCTCGATCAACCTCGCTATCTGCGGAGGGTGATGGGATCCCTCGGGAGATGTCGATCACCTCCGTCGCGTCTGAAAGTGCATTGAGCCCTGCACACCGGAGAGAGGTTTCGGATATTGACGATTTAGTTGGCGATTTTGGTTTTTTGTCAGTTTGACTGAATTGTGTTGTTTGGTTAGCCCGTTGACAGTTCAAAAGGTCCGTTAATGCGACTTCGCGTGACTTCCACGGCATCACCTCGAGTACCTCCTTCGCCAACCTTCTCCTCTCAGTCGCCCTAGCCGATTCCTCCCCACCACCCGTTCCCTATTCACTACTTGCGCGGCACGAAGCGGCGCCGTTGCTTCAATACTATTTTGATAATGTGTTCGTCCAGCTGCCTTTCTTTGTCGAAACGAACTTCTGGACCTCGGTGGATGCCGTATACCAGTCAGGGGGCCGATTTGCCAAACCGTTCGACCATTGGATGCTGCGTATGGTTCTCGCCATCGCTTCGGCGTCAGTTTCATACCATCACAATGATAAGAGCCATCAACGGGCGTGGGCTCTCGTGTCAGAAGCTTTGACATATGCCGAGGAAGTCCTCCGCCCTGGGTCAATCTCGGGAATCCAAGCAATTCTGCTGCTTGCTCAATATTCTTTGGTTGATCCAGCACGCTTCCGTAGTTGGTATTTGGTTGGAATGGCTGTCAAGGTTGCGATCGATCTGGGCTTGCATCAAGACCCCCCTGCTGAAGTTTCGACCAATCCCGATCGACTTGATATTCGCCGGCGTGTGTTTCATTGCATTTATTGTCTAGACAGGTTCGTAATCATTCTGTTCCTTGATTACCACCCTGCTTACTGTTTGTCACAGAGGTTTAAGCCCTGCCATGCAGAGAACCTACTCGTTCTCCGACGGATCTGTGAATGTTGCATTACCATCAACTACCGCACCAGGAGTCCCCGAGGAGCAAACTCATATTTTCCTACGCAACCCGGCGCCTGCGTTGCACATCATTAAAATCCGACAAATTCTGTCGGTGGGCTATCAAGAAATGCACTACAGTGGACGCAATCCATCCTCGCAACCTCTGGTCCTCATTTGGACTCTATGCTGGCGAGCCCGGGAATGGTTCCAGTCATGCCCCCAAAATGCTCCCATCCACTTCCCACTTCTATACCGACTTGAATTATTATACACCATCATCATCCTGCTATC